TCAGACTCCCTTTGGCATTCATGGCATGATGTGGACAGAGATCATCTTCTGTGGCTTCCTCACACTGGACCCCACACATCCAGGTAGCGCGGAGCTGACATTTGTACACTGACATTAGCGCTGCGCAGTTCTGTACCTGCAGCTCCCGCCCCTAATTTGGCCCCTGAAGCTTTTGTGCTAAGAAATGTTGGCCAGGTTAGAAATGAAGAGTAGTTTGAGCTGTCAGATTGTTTGCCTTCTCATCCTCTTTTTTCCCAAGTTTTTTTGTTTTTGTTTTTTTTGTCTTTGTTTTTGTTTTTTGAGACAGAGTCTCGCTTTTGTTGCCCAGGGTAGAGTAAGTGCCGTGGCATCAGCCTAGCTCACAGCAACCTCAATCTCCTGGGCTCAGGCAATCCTCCTGCCTCAGCCTCCCGAGTAGCTGGGACTACAGGCATGCGCCACCATGCCCGGCTAATTTTTTCTATATATATATTAGTTGGCCAATTAATTTCTTTCTATTTATAGTAGAGACGGGATCTCGCTCAAGCTCAGGCTGGTTTCGAACTCCTGACCTCGAGCAATCCGCCCGCCTCGGCCTCCCAGAGTGCTAGGATTACAGGCGTGAGCCACCAGGCCCGGCCCCAAATACTAGTTTTTAATATATTTAACCTCTTCTAGAGATGAGCACTAAATTATTATAATGTAATGTGTTAAGTAATGTCGGTGAAGTGGCCGGGCATGGTGGTTCAAGCTTGTAATCCTCGCACTTTGGGAGGCTGAGGCGGGCGGATCGTTTGAGCTCAGGAATTGGAGACCAGCCTGAGCAAGAGCGAGACCCCTCTCTACTAAAAATAGAAAGAAATTAGCTGGACATCTAAAAATATGTAGAAAAAAAAATTAGCCGGGCACAGTGACGCATGCCTGTAGTCCCAGCTACTTGGGAGGCTGAGGAAGGAGGATCGCTTGAGCCCAGGAGTTTGAGGTTACTGTGAGCTAGGCTGACACCACGGCACTCTAGCCCAGGTGACAGAGCAAGACTCTGTCTCAAAAAAAAAAAAAGAAATGTCAGTGAAGTTATAAGTGCAAGATTTTTTTCTTACATGTAAGAAATAACTTATAATTGGTTAAAGTTGGCCATTAAAGAAACTTCCTGGATCTAAGCCAGTCATTGGTCAAGGATATCATCTTAGTCACCTTGGGCTGGCTGTAACAAAATATCACAGGCTGGGAGGCCTAACCACAGAAATTTATTTTCTGTCAGTTCTAGAGGCTGGAAAGTCTAAGACCAAGGTTCGGGCAGGTTTGATTCCCGACAAGGGCTCTCTTCCTGGCTTTCAGATGGCAGCTTTGTCCTCAGGTGGCCTTTCCCCTGAGCACGTGCACAGGGAGAGAGAGAAAGAGCTTCCGCTCTGGTGTCTCTCTAAGGACCCTAATCCTGTGGGAACAGGGCTCTGCCCTTCTGACTTCATTTAACCTTAATTACTTCCTTTGAGGCCACATCTCCAAATACAGCCACACAGGGTGACATATGAACTTAGGGGGAAGCACAGCTAGTCCCTAACAGATCCTGAAAAGAGGACTTTTTCATTTAGAGCAAGGTGGCGTAAGTCACCTTTCAGGCTCCTGCCTTGGCACGTAGGAGTCAGTGACTATGCAGGTGTCCAAGGTGGTCATAGCTAATGGGCCGAGGCTGCTCGCCCTGTGCAGTGGGGCTGCAGCCTGAAACCATAATCCCTAACTTCACTACTGGCAGAAAGAACCAGTTCATTAAGAAATCTCAACTAACTGGGTGTATCAGTCCAGGTTCTACCAGAGAAACAGCAGAAGAGGGATTTGGGATTTCAAGGCATTGCTTATGTAGTTGTGGGTCCAGCTGAGCAAGTCTGCACTCCATAGGACAGGCAGCAGGTGGGAGACTCAGCCGGTGCTGGCGCCACAGTGCAGGGGGAAGCTCTTCTTCCTCCGGGAATCTGCAGGGATTTCAGCCGATTGAATGAGGCCCGCCCACATTAGCCAGGGTAATCTTTACTTAAAGTCAATTCATAATTGATGTTAACCACATCTACCAGATACCTTTGCGGAGCACTCATATCAGAGTTGGATGAAAGCTGGATGCTGTGGCTTCAATAAGTTGGCCCATAAGACTAGCCATCACACTGAGGGTACCTTGTATTTGTTTCAGCTATTGCCTTTAACCATGATCTATGAAATCACACTTTGCACCCCTAAATACATCTTGGACGAAACTGCTTAACTTTTTAAACATCTGTGGTTATAGAAGCCCAATCTGGTTTAAAGCTTTAACCTCAGGCTCTCTCCGAGCGGCATCTGCACCTCTCCCTGAAGGCACCTGGCCAGTGAGGGACTTGAAGTGAGAAAGGAGGGGAAGCAGGGATGGCTCCGAACACCTCTTGCCCGCCCTCCTCTCGGGCTTTGAGCAGAACCCAGAGCAAGGCCAGGCACACTGGCTCACGCCTGTAATCCTAGCACTCTGGGAGGCCGAGAAAGGAGGATCGCTTGAGCTCAGGAGTTTGAGACCAGCCTGAGCAAGAGCAAGACACTGTCTCTACTAAAAATAGAAAAATTAGCCAGACATCGTGGTATACGCCTGTAGTCCCACCTACTCGGGAGGCTGAGGCAGGAGGATTGCTTGAGCCCAGGAGTTTGAGGTTGCTGTGAGCTAGGCTGATGCTATAACACTCTAGCCTGGGCGACAGAGTAAGACTCTATCTCAAAAAAAAGAAAGCCAGACCAGAGGCAGGGGCACTGCCTGTGTGCCTGCTATGGTGCTACCTGCAGCCTCTACAGTGTGGCAGCCTCTTCTATGGTATGTCTGTGACTTTTGCACAGTGTTCAGCTTCACTGAAGATCCTTTCCCAGCGGCAGCCATCTCCCCTTCCCCCACACCTCCAGCCTCCTGTCTGGAAGAGCTGGCCCCTCCTTTGGCAGTTTCCTGGGTGGCCCCACGGCTCCCTCCCTGGCCTCTGTGTCCCTGACGTGCAGCATCAGGAACCTCAGTGGCAGTGACCTGTGGCTTCCTTCCAGGTATGCTGCACCACAGTTCCTGAGGGCCCTGATGTCACAGGCTTCTCTGGAAGTCTCCTACCAGGCGTGGCCTGTGCTCACAGACACCTCTGCCACCCAGAGTCCATGCCCGGGCTCTGCCCTCCTACGCTGCACTCTGCTCCCGTCGGCACCAAATGGAGCCTGTGGCCCTAACCCACTAAAATCATCTTTCTTGAAGGTGACCCTAGCCTCTGGGTGATTGGAAACCACCCCCAGCCCTGATCATTTGGCTTTGAGGAAGAAAATAGAAATCCCCAGTTCATGAATGTTACGTTCCCCATAAAGGCTGAAGACAATTCAGACTTTCTTCCTCCCATGCTTTTATCCCCAGAAGTTGTGGAGAGCACAGGGTGATGGCTGGCGATGACAGGGCCAGTTCTGTTGCCTGTCTGCAAACTCTGGGAGGAAATAGTGGCCCACTCAAAGCCGTGGTGGCCTTTCCTTAGTGGTCGGGCCCATAGCATCTTCTGTTCTCCTCTGTGGGCTTTGGGATCAGGCCGCGAAGAACAGTCTCCTCACTTCCCTGGTCCCCTGTCTATTCCGAGGGCCAGCAACTGAGGAAGGGCCATCTACCTGTGAACTACCTGTTGTGTGAGAGGCCTCTGACAGGGCCCTGGACATATACCAGAGGAGAGGACTGAGCCCCAGAGAGCAAAAATTCCAGAGATTATACACCAGTGAGAGCCAGGTTGACACTCAGGGTTTTAGATTCCAAATTTTTTCTTTCTCCTTATGTCTTTGGAACAATTACTCATATTTTTACTGAGAACTTTTGTTTCATTAATTGTTCCTGCATTATCAGCCCCCTTTCATCTTTCCTCTCCTGTTCATCTGCATCCATTGCAGTTGCTATGTGCATCAGGCCCTTTCTCACCCGGTGCAGAGAGTAAACGTTTGGTGCTCAGAGCTTTTATAGCTGATGGCTTCATGAAAATGATGTTAAGAGTTGGAGTTCAGTATTAATAACAGTAAAGAAAGGAACAAAAGGAGTAACACTGAGTATTAGCTTGGTCTTTACAAGACTGGGTATCTGAATGGCCAAGGTTTCCCTGAACTCTCTGTAGATATCTTCTCATTGTTGCAGTGGTGTTGGATTTAATCTTTCATGTCAGATGTTTTGATCTTTTGCTTTGAGAGTGGTGGGACAGGGGCTTTTGTGGTCATCTGTCAGACCTGTTCACCAGAGCCCAGTTCTGTAACTGGCATGTGATGGGTTCAAAGATTTCATAAGGTAACTGATCAAATTTAGACCTGGCACAAAAGAAAAACAGGTTATATATTGATGATAATGGAAAAACTAAACTTTTAAGTTTATGTCATTGATACGTCAGTATATATTGTACAAATCCAAACAGACACGGAGAAACGCCACCAGTGCCTGGAGGCACAGCCAGGCCATCTTCCGATGGTTCTCTCCGTGCTGAGCAGTCCTTCCCTGGAAATGATCCTTGCCACCCACGCAAAAGTTGCCCCACCTTGACTCTGGCTTTTCTCATCATTGCTGATTGCAGAGAATGTCGGGCGCATTCTCACATGGGTCATCTCGGTGCCATGAGGCACGTGCTGCTTTCTCACCGTTTTCAGTTGCATGGTCTCTGCTGTTGCCTTCACCATCTCACCCTTTTCTTGCTGTCACTTGGAACATTCTCCTTGCTTACACGTGTACTCAGTGGATGTAAGACCTCAGAAGTCATTGCCATGCCATCAGCATTTGTCAGTATTGGTTATCTTTTAAAGTTTGACAGTTAAGAGCCAAAACAACTTTGGTGGTCACCTGTCTGAGGTGCTATATCTCCTGCTAAAGTTTTGGCTCAGGCTCTCTTAGGGGACCCATGCTGCTTCTGTGTTTTGAGAATGGGAAACAGCTATCCTTAGAATTATTTAAGACTTTTTAAAATTTACTCTGCAAATATGTCAAATATCCTGGTTGTAATTATAGAACATGTGGATTTTAGTTTGCAGTTAACATGTTTCGAACATTACCACCTTCCTCCAATCCTACGGGAGCAGAATTTGACCCAGAGGAGGATGAACCAACGTTAGAAGCAGCCTGGCCTCATCTACAGGTAATGGGCTCTGGGAGAGCAGCACAGGGTCAGAGGGCATGAGCTACAAGTGGGGGTGTTCCTGGGATTCCATGGAGCAGCTGCACTGGCCGGAGGCCTCGCTTCAGCTGGTGGCAGATAGAACTCTCATCTTCAGTGCCATAGGCCTCGCAAACCTGTAAACACAAGGAAAATATTTCAGTAGAACAGAGAAAAGTTAACTTGTATATATGTTTGGACACTACACAAATGACAAAGCTGTAGAATTGTCAGTATGTGTTCAATGGAAATGACCGCTTTGTGGATAGCTGTTGAATTCAGGCCTAGAGGACTCAGGCTGACATTTTCCCAGTTTTCAGGACTAAGATTTAATGTGTGCCCACCAGGCTCCCCAGGCTCCTGTGCTGGTGACTGCCCTTCTCCAGCACATTTGTAAGGTGGAAGGTGTTTGGTGAGGAGGTCTGGGGACAGAGTGAGCAGAGCACCTGCCAGAGGTGCCAATGAGAGGGCCGAGCCGAGCACGATGGGGAAATGAGGCCTGAAGGGGGTGGGGCTAAACCAGCAGCCTACAGGAAGGCAGGTGGCTCAGTAGCCACATGGTGCCCACTCGCAGCATCCGGGCTCCACTTGGGACTCCTGGCAGCAGGCCACGCTGCCTGACCGAGTGGGAAGCACCGTCTCCGCTCACGGTCCCCTTGGCTCTGCTTGAGCACCGCAGGACGCTCACAGGCAACAGGCTGCACATCCCACCCTGGAGCGTGGCCGTGGCCTGGCTCATGACAGCTGTGCCCGGTCTCTGGGCAGTGTAGTTTAGGTGTTGGTGACGTTGGCCATAGAAATCATTTTGTTTAAATGTCATTTAAGGGTCTGTGGTTGTTACTAAACAAAATAATTACCATCGCCAGTTATAATTAAATTAAGCCATGTCATTTAGCGCTGATTCTGTAGATGTGTGGCTTTTTTTAAAGGCTAATATTTCCAGGCAAATAAAGATTCAACTCATGGTGTATTTTAATATCCATTTAGTAAAATGCCATGTTATTTGACTCATTGTTGTTTTTTTCCTCCTAGCTTGTTTATGAATTTTTCTTAAGATTTTTAGAGTCTCCAGATTTCCAGCCTAATATAGCGAAGAAATATATTGATCAGAAGTTTGTATTGCAGGTAAGGTGCAAATCAGCTGAAACTACAAAGCCCTAACCTACAGAGCGGTAACACCACGTCACTAAGTGTGTTTTTCTCCTTGAAGCTTTTAGAGCTGTTTGACAGTGAAGATCCTCGGGAGAGAGATTTTCTTAAAACCACCCTTCACAGAATCTATGGGAAGTTCTTAGGCTTGAGAGCATACATCAGAAAACAGATAAATAATATATTTTATAGGTAAGTCTGTATGTGGCTGACATTCTCTTTGTGCACGGTGATGTTCATTCCCACACTCGATCCCCCTCCTGCCCTGGCATTTCCTTTGACAGGGGACTGAGGCCAGGGAGCTGGCTCTCAAGCGGCCTGTTTTCATGTGCAGGTGGACCCCGTGTGCGGCTGGACTTGCCCCCTCCTGTCCTGCCCTGCCCTCCGCCTGCTCCCCACATTCCTGGTGCCTCGCCTCGCACGCCTCCTGTTTCAGCTTCTGCTGAGATGTCCAGTCACCCAGAAATACGGATGAATTGATTCCGTCCAAGCCAACCTTTGCCTCCCACCTGTGCATTCTTCCCCACAGAATCTTAGGAGAGGAGGAAGGGGTGAGGAGTGATGTGATTAGTTTTTAGGAAACAGCAGATCTGTGAGCCTAGATTAGAAGTGCTGAGATTCCCACTGTGCGCCCGGGGAAGGGAATCCTGCTGGAAGCAGCAAGTTGGGGAGGATAGCTTCTGACATCGAGCCCACCTCTTGGCCATGGGACTGTAGTGATGGCAGAGGCCTGTAGCAGCCCCGAGGCCGCCCTCTTCCTAGCCTACCTCTGCTTGGCCCCAGGCCCCTGCCAGACCAGGGATGTGCAGCCGGTGTTCCCCCTGCCTGGGTGCCCTTTTCCACTGGCCCTTCTCTCAGCCTTCCAGGCTTCCAGAAACGTCCCTCCCCCAGGGATGTACCCACCTGAGTAGGCACATGCATCTGGTCCCCCACAAGGGCAGCCACCATGTGGGCTGATTTGTCACATGCCCCAGCTTGTGGTGTCATCAAGTAAATGTTGATAGAAGAAACAGTTCGTGTTTTTCTTCTCTGTCCCTGGAAAGCTTCCTAAATGAGCAGTTTATTCTACACACTTTGGCTTCTCAGGTTGGCTTGCCTCTCCAAGGCACCGGAGGGTGGTATGAGGTGGCGACAGATACTAGCAGTGACAGAAGCAGTGTGAAGGTGTCCCTATGTGAGATAAGAACATGGATAGGTTTCCTGCCGCCTAGCTGCAGGGCCTCAGTGAGGATGAAGCACACACCATTGCTGGAGAAGGGCCAGGTGTCCACTGTGACAACCCTAGGCCTGGGTCATTTCTTAGTCCTGGTGACTGACTAAGGGAAAATAAGAGGGCCAGCCAAGACAGACAGGCGGGCAGCAGCTGAGCTCCAGCCTCGTGCCCCAGCCGCTGCACAGCCCTGTGCTCAGCTCCCTCGCCTGCCTCTCTGCAGCCAGAGGCTCTGGCCCCCGCCCTGATGCTCACCCCTGATAGGGCCCTTCGATGTTAGAGCCTCTCATTCTGTGCGTGGCATTCCTCTCACCTCCTTGTAGGTTCCCCATGTCCCATTTGTATGATGGAGCCCGGGGCGCTGGCTCACCAACTATAATCAGTGAGTGACATCATCATCAGGAGTGTTAGGCTTCTATTTTATGTTTCTTGGTATCATGCTTCCTTTTTAATAAGATCGTTACTTGGCTGATGTACTTACCTATCAAAATAAATATACATTATTGAAACACAAAACAGGTACAATTTAAATTCCAGTCTTTGGGGCCCAGAATTAAAGCTCTACCTAAAGTGTTTTTGTTTTCTTAGTATCAATAAGTTTTGTTCAAATAGCAGAATCACGAATCTATTGAACGCCTGTATTAAAGAAATAGAAAATGTTTTGTATCCTAAAAAACTTTAATTTAAAAACAGGAATACTTTAATAGATTATTATTTAAAAGTTATTACACATAATTTAATTCAGTTCTCACTAAAGGCTTGATGCTAGAGGGTGGTATTTGTGTATGTATGTTTTAGTAATCTCCTCTATAATTATCTTGATACATGCAACCAAAAGCAAGAATGTTACCTAGATTCCATAACTGGTTTGAGTCCTCATTGTCAATACTGCTCCCTCCTCATTTCATGTGAGGGTAGAATAAGGAGAAAGATATTGAGAGATGTGTTCAGCTCATCAAAGTTCTATGCAGTACAGCTATGTCGTGTAAGAAAAAATATTTTGCATGTATTTGGTTCAACTTACTGAAAATGTTAATATAAAGTTCCTGCTTCTTTCTGTAGTTTCTCATCCTAGTCAGCTTTGTTTAGTCGTGAGCCAAACAGTGCTTTAGATACCCCCTGATGCCGCTTTGGCCAGCAGTGGGATGGAAGAAGAGGTGGGAAGGTGGGCAGCAGCTCCTCCTCTCTTGCTGCGTACCCAGCCTCCCACAGCTTAGTGGCTTCAGTCAGCCACGGTCTACCATCCTCACATTCTGTCACCGCTGCTGGGCTCAGCTGGACAGTTCTTCTGCTCTGCATGATGTCTGTGAGGGCTGGAATGTCCACAGTGATTTCTTCCCCCATGTGGTCTGCTGTGGCCTGCTCAGGCTCCCCCTCTGCACAGGGCCTTCACTGCTTCTCAGAAGGAAGAGGCAGGAGCTGCCAGTCCTCTTAAGAGTTTGGCCCAGACAGGACAAAGTGACTTCACCCTTTATGTTGGTCAAAGCAGGTCATTAGGACAGCCCGGATTCAGAGGGAGGGCACAGAACACATTACGCAGGAAGGAAAGGAATTGATGACATCGATTTGAGAAACTTCTACGACAGGCAGGTTCCAGCTCAGTTTTTAGAGTGTCTAATTCCTTTTTTGCTGAAAGAGTGAAAAACACTCCACCCTGCTCTGAACAGATCTTTATGGCTTCTCTCCCATTTTGCACCTTCCTGTTTTATCTTCCTCTGGAAAAGTAAGGAGAAGAACTATCCTTATTCTTTCTTATACCTACTTTAAATCAGGTTAAAATAATTAGAAAGTAAGAATTTATCAGTAAGAATGTAATCATGTTGATTGAGGAAAATGAAATGACTTTTAGCTAAAACCCATCCTCACGTGCATGTCAAAGCTGGTGGAGATAGAAACAATGCGAAGGGATTCAGGCATCTTTGTCCTGGGAGGCCCAGAGGTGACCACCCAGGCTCCTTGGGAGCCTCAGTGACCTGCTGGCTGCACAGCTCTCCAGGATACGTGTGAGGGGGACCAGAAGACTGAAGTTGGGGGGCCGTACCGTCTACAAAGGTAGCCTTCAGGGTGGGTTTCCCAAATTAAAGTGCTTCTGAATGGAGACGCACCACAGAGGGCTTAGGCTTAGTTACAGCTTCCAAGCTCTCAGGGCAGGTGTGATCAGGAGGATGTGGGACAAGAACACTTTGCATTCTGTGTATTCGCACCACCGGCATTCTTGACACCCAGGTTGCCACATTCTATCATGGTAACTTCCCTGCTCACTTTCAGGCCAAAGCCAAATTCATTTTTTGCTACTTCATTTCACTGTCCGGCCTCACGCCCACCTCCCCGCCCCGCTGCTCCGTGTCGCAGACCTTCGTTCCAGCCAAACAGGTTCTTCCCCGCTCCATACAACCATTTTTTAAAATCTGTCAAAATCCTCCTACAGGGCCCAATTAAAACACCCATGACTGAGTAAATTTTGGTCATTTGGGAATATAGACATGTTAAGGCCATTTTTGAGAATTATTTCACATCTGTGGAAATTTGGCTTGTTCTTTACCTTAAGGCCACTATTCTAATTGTTTCAAACCACCATGAAAAAGATTTGTTTAGAGACAGGGTCACACTCTGTTGCCCAGCCTGGAGTGCAGTGGCATCATCACAGCTCACGGCAACCTCCAACTCCCGCCTCAGCTTCCCAAGTAGCTGAGACTACAGGCACACATCACCACACCCAGCTAGTTTTGTTTTTTGTTTTTTTTTTAAATAGAGATGGGGTCTCACTCTTGCTCAGGCTGGTCTCAAAGTCCTGGCCTTAAGCAGTCCTCCTACCTTAGCCTCCCAAAGTGCTGGAATTACAAGCATGAGCCACCACACCTGACCTACAATGAAAATTTTTTAAACTTTACTGATTTATTTTTGGCTTGGAGCTGTTTTTAAGCAAATAGTTTTCATCTGACAGGCAGGAACCTTTTTCAGACTTCTCTCTTACTTCCTGCAGAATACTCTGCGTGTATTGGTTCAGACCAGTGCAAGGCAATCAAGGCCACAGGCAGGAGTGGCTTGTTTCTACGGGAACCCTTGGGAGAGGACATGTCCTGTTCCCTCTCTCTGTCCCCAGTTTGTTCAGCAGACGTGGTTAAGAATCAAACAGATGCCTGGCTTGGTCCTAGCCCTGGGAACACAGTAATGAGAAGTGATCCCATCTGGAGGGAGACAGGTCGATACGAGGGGTGGGGTACATGGCCCAGGAGCTCCTCTAGAAGCGGGCACTCTGGGCAGAGGCTGCTCTGGGGAAGGGAACCAGGGCAGACTGGTGTTCCAGAAACATTGCACCTGAGGCAGCGGAGAGGAAGTGTAGGAGTGTCAGTAGGCAGGATGGTCCAGGGAGGTGTTCAGGAAATCACTTCTACCCTTTGCAGGGACTGCGCAAATATGGTAGGCTTTAAAATGGAGTAAGACATACACTTATGTTGAAATGCAGTGAAAAAATAAAATGAGTTAATGGATGGGTAGAGGGGTGAATAGACAGATGTACATGTGACCAAGCTAATAGAGTACATTGGTAATCGCTGAATCTGGGTGGTTCAAATACGGGTGTTTGCTGTAAAATTCTTTCAACTTTACTGGATGCTTGAAATTTTTCAAAATAAAATATTGAGAAGAAATCAGTAAGACCAAGCTCGCTGTTCTGAAGGCATTTATATCTGCAGGTTTTGAGGAGTGTCTTTGGTTCACCTGGTAACAGTGAGCAGCTGCCTAGGCCCCATGAAGGTTTTCACAAATAGACATGCTCATTGTTGCCCGGCTATGTGACTGTCTCCTACAAGCATTGTTTTCTTATTCAGGGGAGTTTAGTCTTTCCAGTTGTTATTTCAGTGTCTAATTCTGATTGACAAATTGTTTTTTCTAGGTTTATTTATGAAACAGAGCATCACAATGGCATAGCAGAATTACTGGAAATATTGGGAAGGTAAGTAAATCTGTGTTAGTGGCATCAAGTGACCGTGGATGGAACTTATGCCAGAATGATCCAGTTCATTTGGTTCAACTGCCCCACGCCCCAAAGTGAGGCAACTGAAGCCATTCTTGAAAGTCACGTAAACGAGACTTCGCTTACGGAGGGTTGGTGAGCTCAGAGGGGTTGGTGAGCTCGTGGATTAGAGCACGCCAAAGGACAGATTCTCCCATTTTTATGTTTCCATTTGTAGATCTACTTCGTATGCCTCAGTATCATTACTATGGAAACATAATTTAAATTATTTCCTGAAGAGTAATGTTAAAAATAGTTACATAAGAAGGTTTACATTAGACACTTTATAAAAAGAATAGATGGTACATTTGGGGTATTGAGTAAATGCTAATTTGTCAAATGTCCTTGATTTTATGAATTTTTATATGTATCTTATAAGATAATTAACATTTCAAAACTTTCATCATCTTAATCTGAGTAAAATTTTTGCCTGCTATTATATTTTTAAATTGATAATGCATAGATTTTACATTAGACCTCCTAACCCATTGTTTCCCAAACAGGGTACCTCAGGGCTCCATGGCAAATAGCCTGGAAAAATGCTTTTCGCCTCTGCCTCTCTCCAGGGCTCTAGTGTACCTCAGCCCCTCAGGCTTCTGCGGAAACCTGCAATGCGGAAACTCAGTGCTCTTGTTAAACCTAGTGATTCCCTACAGCATTTGAACAAAGGAGTCTTTTCCCATGAAATGCTATTATTATCTGCGGAATATGGTCCTGCATGGTAGTTCTGAGAAAAACTGTCCTTGCTGTTTAAGATGTAATTTGAAAAAAACATTAGTCCTTATTGAAAATTTTGTTTTGATTAGTTTCAACAGGCTCGGCTGGGGTTTCTCTCTCAGTATAGCGTAGTGTAGGGAGTGGTTAAGAGGCTGCCCCCTACCAGTTGTATGACCTTGGGCAAGTTAATTCTATAAAATGAGAAAAATAATTGATTTTCCCTCCCAGATGCTTACAAGGAGGGGTTAAGCTATGTAAGGTGTTCGGCACAGCCTGCCACATCGCGTGGGTAAGGGCCACTGTGCAGCCACCACTGCTAGGCTTATTTTTCTTCTTTTAGAAGAGGGATTTTGCCTTGAGGGCTTCCCCGTGTGAATGAGCAGACCATCCTAAAAGGACCACTCCAGATCGCGTCCTGCATTACCCAGTGCCCTGTGCTGAGAGAACAGTGGAGGACCACGTTAGAAATCTGTCTGCTTCCACGGCTCTCTGTATCATCTATTTGTGTTTGCCTAATTATAGAACTAAGTAAATAAACTAGTGGGTGTCTGAGACAAAAACTTCAGTTTGGAGGCTCTAAGTAGGACCGCCTTCCCTTGCAGAAGAGAACACCTTTCTGATTGATTTTTAACCAACACACCTGTTCTATATACACCCGGACTCTGTTGCTAACACTAGAGTAATGAGCCTGAATTACTCTAGGGATGCATGACTTTCTAAAGATGGATGATGGAAGGTGCTGGGTGTGGGAGCACCTGGAGCTGGGGGGTCCCACCTGAGCTGTCCAGTCTTCCTGGCTCTGTTTGAGCAAAAGATTTTGCCCTTGCTGCTGAGCTGGCTTCCTACTGTTCTGGGCAATGCCCTATAAGCCCAGATTTTTAAAATTATCTTGTAGTTATAAAGATAAAAATGACTGTGCTTCCTTTTGAAGGCATTTAATTTTATTTAGATTTCTGCTAATAACCTCTCTTTCTTGAAACACACACACAAACATATATATATATATACATATATATATATATTTTTTTTTTTTTTTAAGAGCCAGAGTCTCACTATGTTGTCCAGGCTAGAGTACAGTGGTACAGTCTTAGCTCACTGTAGCCTCAAACTCCCGGGCCCAAGTCATCCTTCCTCCCCAGCCTCCTGAGTAGCTGGGACTATAGGCTCCTGGCTTACATATATTTTGCCTACTGGGTTTTCATGCTGAAAACAAAAACTGAAAGAAAAACAACAAGGTTATTTGCTTAAAATGTAGAATGTATAAATATTCAAGCCAAATAAATTTTCTTTTTCCAGTATAATTAATGGATTTGCCTTACCACTAAAAGAAGAGCACAAGATTTTCTTATTGAAGGTGTTACTACCTTTGCACAAAGTGAAATCTCTGAGTGTCTACCATCCCCAGGTAAGGGGGTAAGGGAAGTGCTGGCGGGCACAGCCATTGTTATTTGAGCAGGATGGAACTCAAGACAGTGAATCCAGCCTTTAACCAAGAGTGTTTTCCTTTTTATATCATTTTAGTGACTTCAGTAACAAGGTTCTGGCAATAATTCAAAGAGTAAAGGTGTAAAGAAAGATTTTTTTTAAGAAATTCAGAGAAATATTTAGAATACAGAATTTAAAATTAGTTTTAAGCATAGAGAAGGAAGTAACTCTGAAAGAAGTCAAGAGGAAGGTTTTCTGCAGTGTAATCTAAAATCCAGTACCTTAAAAAAAAAGTCTGTGGGTCCGTGGCCAATGAAATGGCCTATGAAAAAGTTTTTAAAAAGAAAAAGCTATGGATTTTTAAAACTGACAGAATATAACTACAGATATACTGAAACATTGGTCAGTAAGTGCTTGCTAACTGGTTAGTGGACTGGATTGACTTAGATTTGGTTTTCCTTCACCCTTATGTGTAGACAACTAAAGCTATGCCGATTGCAACACATTGACAATTTATTTCAGAAAAACTCCCACCTTGAGCTGCAGGTGATATGTTTATTCACTTGTAGCTGTCGCAGGCCTGGCACCAAGTAGTCCGCCCATAGCACATGCTCGGGAAGGCAGGAGCCTCCTTTCCAACAGGCCCCACTTGGGCGGTTGGCAGCATGGGATAAATTACAGACAGTGCATTCTTTAATGGATTCTCATGATGGTGGCTTCCTGTGAAATACTTTACTTATTTTCTGTGATTGCTATTAACTGGTAATATCTTTATATCTAGCCAGTTTATCATATGAATTGTATAAAAGAAGTTAATAGTTCAGATATTTAATGGAACCAGATTTTAATTTGATTTTTCCCAGCTATTAGATTATGCTTCATCATAATCTCCAAAAGAACCACAAGAAAAATTCCCATCACACCTTGTTGACTTGGTGGTGGTGTTAGTCTAAAAGACTGTTTGCTAGATTTTTTTGTTTTTTAGCTTTCTGATCTATCACCAATTAATAGGGAAAGGATTCGTGCATAGGTGCTGGGGTTCCCCCCTGAGAGCCCCACTCAGAGCCTACTGTGAGGGTGGACGGCACACCTGGGGGCAGCTCCTCCGTCACACCAGGCTTTTGTACCACAGGCCTTGTCGTGCCATAAGAAGGTGTTTAACAGCGGTTCTAGAAGAAGCACGGCAGCATTGCCATGTTGAAATGTTAACATTCTCCTTTTACTTTGTAGCTGGCGTACTGTGTAGTGCAGTTTTTAGAAAAGGACAGCACCCTCACTGAACCAGTAAGTTTACTCTCTGCCCTTCATTCTGTTGCTGGCATCTTGTAAGATGTGTATATTTCACTAAATGTAAATATCACAGTGTCTACTTCACCAAATTACTGCTCAGACAGCTTTTTCACCTTTAGTTGCAATACTCATAAACAGACCCATTTCATTCGTTTGTTACAGGTTTTCAGAGTATAGTCATTTTAATTGCAGGTTCCCTTAATGCAGTGATTATTTTATGTAATGAGATTGCCAGTTTATTCCTCATTGCACTCCTTTGAGTACAAAGCATTGAATAGTTGTAGCCACTAAATCATGGCTTGATTCGATAACATATTGAACTGACTTCGGTTAGAGAAATTATAGTAAGGGTTTGAAATACTCGTTATACTAAAGAGGTTTTACTAACTTGAAAATTCTTTCCGTGAGTGTTACTGTTTTATGATCCTGAGTCACAAGTAAACGTTAGATTGCTACCATTCCATGTTTGGGGTTGTAATTTTCTTAACATTTATCTTTATTAAAAGTGAAAAGGCCAGCTGGGCACAGTGGCTCATGCCTGTTATCCCAGAACTTTGGGAGGCCAAGTCTCGAGCGAGGAGGATAGCTTGAGCCCAAGAGTTCGAGGCTGCGGTGAGCTGTGATCACACCATGACACTCCCTGGATGATAGAGGGAGAGCCTACCAATCAGTCTATCTATAAATACTGTTGTAGCCATGGTTAACAAAGTCAGACATGTCATTTGCCAGTTTAAGTATTTGAATAAACTTTTTTGAACAACTTTATTGAGATATAATTCATATACCATGGCCGGGCGTGGTGGCTTACACCTGTAATCCTAGCACTCTGGGAGGCCAAGGGGGACAGATCGCTCGAGGTCAGGAGTTCGAAACCAGCCTGAACAAGAGTAGACCCCGTCTCTACTATAACTGGAAAGAAATTAATTGGCCGACTAATATATATAGAAAAAATTAGCCAGGCATGGTGGTGCATGCTTGTAGTCCCAGCTATTTGGGAGGCTGAAGCAGAAGGATTGCTTGAGCCCAGGAGCTTGAGGGTTGCTGTGAGCTAGGCTGACGCCATGGCACTCACTCTAGCCTGGGCAACAAAGTGAGACTCTGTCTCAAAAAAAAAAAAAAAATTCATATGCCATATAATTTATCCATTTAAAGTATACAATTTAAAGGGTTTTTGTATATTATATAGGATTATTTCTTAATTGTGGTAAAATTTATTATTTTAACCACTTTAAGTGTATAATTCAGTGGTATTAATTACATTTATAATGTAGTACAACCATCACCATTGTTTCCAAAACTTTGTCACCATCCCAAACAAAAATTCTACCCATTAAATAATAATTCCTCATTCCTCCTTCCCCTGGCCCTTGCTAACCTGTAATTTGCTTTCTGTCTCTATGAATTTGACTGCTCTAGGAACCTCATATAAGTAGAATCATAAAATATTTGTCCTTTGTGTTTGATTTATTTCATTTAGCATGCCTTGCAAGATTCATCTATGTTGTATTGTGTATCAGAACTTCATTTCTTATTATGGTTGAATAATATTCCATCATATGGATAGAACACAATTTGTTTACCTATTTATTCGTCAGTGGACACTTGAGTTGTTCCTACCTTTTAACTATTGTGAATAATGCTGTTATTGATATGTTGCTGTACATCTGTTCAAGTCCCTGCTTTTAGTTCCTTTGGGTATATACCCAGAAGTGAAATTTCTGAATTCTATGTATTGTATATTTAGCTTTTTTTTTGAGACAGAGTCTCACTCTCTTGTCTGGGCTAGAGTGCCATGGCATCAGCCTAGCTCACAGCAACCTCAAACTCCTGGGCTCCAGCCATCCTTCTGCCTCAGCCTCCCGAGTAGCTGAGACTACAGGCATGTGCCACCATGCCTGGCTAATTTTTATATATATACTTTTAGTTGTCCAGCTAATTTCTTTCTATTTTTTTAATAGAGACAGGGTCTCACTCTTGCTCAGTCTGGTCTCGAACTCCTGAGTTCAAACGATCCACCTGCCTTGGCCTCCCAGAGTGCTAAGATTAAAAGTGTGAGCCACCTCGCCCAGCCATGTTTAGCTTTTAGAAGAACCACTATATTACTGCACAGTTTTACATTCCCACCAGCTATGTACAAAGGTTCTAGTTTCTCTAGATCTTCACCAATGCTTGTTATTTTCCTTTTTCTTAAATTTAGAGTCTTCTTAGTGGTGTGAAGTAGTATCTTATTGTGGTTTTGATTTGCATTTCCCTAATGACTAGTGATGTTCAGCATCTTTTCATGTTCACATTGACCATTTGTATATCTTCTTTGGAGAAATGTCTGTTTCTTTTCCCATTTTTCAATGTTTTTTTAATTGAGTAACAACAAAAGAAGTGTTGTTAGGTGCCAGTTTAAATGTTTGAGTGCTCTTTTAAAAGTCACTGTCAGGACAGAAGAGGCAGGGCTGCTCACTTCCAAGTCCTTCCTGTGCCATCAGCTGTCTTTCGCAGTTTTCTTATGAGATTGTGATTTGTATAGTGAAATTACCTGGGACATTCTTAATCCTGAATTCCTGAGTTAAACTTGCTTCTGGGTTCTGCTTTCGTTGAAGCTTTTGAATTCTATGTGGAGACTCCCCCTGTCTCACCCGAAAATTCAGGAAAAGCTCTCATCCTGCGGATTACTATCCAGGGAGCCATGTGCCCAGCCTTCCCCACCCGCCAACCCTCATAGAGCGCCACATCCCTGCGCTGACCCCTCAGCCCCCCAAACACCTGTCACAATTCTGTGTTAGATTCTGGACGCTCCCAAGGAAATATGCCAAATGTTACCACACCTCAGCATCAAGCATAGTCCAGGGTCTTACTTCAATTTTGAGTTAGGATATGTTATTTTTATCCTCAGCTGACTAAAGACATGTTTAGGTAGGGAAAAGAAAAATGAGTCAGAGTTAATAATAAAAAAGCTCACTGGAGGCCGGGCGCGGTGGCTCACGCCTGTAATCCTAACATTCTGGGAGGCCAAGGTGGGAGGATCACTTGAGGTCAAGAGTTTGAGACTAGCGTCAGCAAGAGTGAGACCTTGTCTCTACTAAAAATAGAAAGAAATTAGCTGGGCAACTAAAAGAAGAAAAAAGTAGCCAGGTGTGGTGACGTGTGCCTCTAGTCCCAGCTACTGGGGAGGCTGAGGCAGGAGCCCTTTGGGAATTTTTTTTTTTTACTGTATTTCCTCTTGTGGGTACACACCCTTATTCCTCTGCCTGTGTTTGAGGTCTTCTCCAAACTAAAGGGTGAGAGCTGGGAAAAGTACTAGAAAAAGTAATATGTAAAAAATTCCATCTATCCCTCCTCCAACCTTTTTCTATTCAAAAATAAAAGGAAAAGAAAGATACATGAGGCCAGGCGCGGTGGCTCACACCTGTAATCCTAGCACTCTGGGAGGCCGAGGCGAGAGGATCGCTCAAGCTCAGGAGTTCGAAACCAGCCTGAGCAAGAGCGAGACCCCATCACTACTATAAAATAGAAAAAAATTAATTGACCAACTAAAAATATATAGAAAAAATTAGCCGGGCATGGTGGCGCATGCCTGTAGTCTCAGCTACTCAGGAGGCTGAGGCAGGAGGATCACTTGAGCCCAGGAGTTTGAGGTTGCTGTGAGCGAGGCTAATGCTATGACACTCTAGCCCTGGCAACAGAGTGAGACTCTGTCTCAAAAAAAAAAGAAAGAAAGATATATGGAAGGAGAGAGAAAGTATGCAAAGTCTTGTATTATGCTTTTTCTTTGTGCATGTTTCTCATTCTCCTGTAGTGGCTGAAGAGCTCACCACGTGCCATGCTGTGTTTACCACAGATGGAGGCTTCTCCCACGGAGCCACTGCCCATGGCATCTCTGTCCCACTGTCCACTGTCTGTCCAAGCCTGAGCCCTAATCCTGTTCCATTGAGAGCTCAGCGAGTGGGCTTCACCCCATTCCCCTTTCCATCCAGAAGTAATGTGAAAGAGGATAAAGTTTGTGATTATTTTTAATTCCCACTAACATGGTAAATAATAAAGCAAATAGAAATTTGCAAGAGTGAGAGCTCTTAATTGCAGTTGTCTGAAAGAGGCAAGAGACAGTATGCCGGCGTCACTTGGGTCCTTCCTCGTCAGTGTAGCGTGCAGCTGTGCAGCCCCCATGTGTTCGGTCCCCGTCCTTTCCACCTAGAATCACTACATGCCTTGTCTCCTGCTGTGCAGATAGATAATGGTACTATCCTGGCTTTAGAAAGCAGATTTTGTTTTCCGTATGTTAAAAACATTCAGACCCTCATCTTAGTAAATTTCTTCCTTTGAAAATCTTATTTTATGAAAACACAAAGGCCATTTTGTCTTCCTTCAGCATCGAAAGCATGCTGATGGTAAGGTGAGAGTGTAGACTCTATGAAGGTGTGCACTTGGTAGCTTTGAGGACACTTGGTGTAATCGTGCGTCTCTCAGGCCCACGCCAGAGGGACTCCTAAAGTCATGGTGTGTCTGTCTAGGCTCGGGAATTCACTGAAGTCTGATCCTCTAAAAAGACTAAGAAATAAAGGATATTTTTTGCCCCCATTTGTAATTTGTAATTAATATTTTTCATTTTGCAAATTTGTGTGCACAGTACTCAAAAGCTTTCTAAGCACATTAAACACATTCACTGTTGTCGTGAGAAGAGTAGAGGCTCATCAGATAACTTAGGGAAGTGACATTTTGTCCGTTTTCATTCGCTTGCCTTTAGGCTAATTGAGTTTTAAGCAACTCTGCTTTCTCCGTAATGTGCCAGGATGGGAGAATGGGCCCCCAGGACTGGAGGCTGGGCTGCTGGCAGGCCCACCCTGGCTGCTAACCCTCTCCAGGGAGCCAGCAGGCCCTGAGTTTCTTAAGGAAAGCTGGGTCCTTGGAATGCATCCAGCAGCGAAGAGCCATTGTTGCGTGGGATTAGCATTCCCTGAGCAGACACCCTCCTCGCAAAACACTGTCCTACTCTAAAGCAGCTGAAATAGCTGGGTATTGATCACAAATTGTTCCAGTGGTGTGAAAAGTAAATCCAGTTTGTGAATCTGATTCCAGATATAATACCTTTTCCAAAGAAATGAAATAGCCAAATCCACTGTGTTGTATAGCCCCTTGTATTTCTCCTAATAAAATTCCTCTTGATAAGGAATGGTAGATTTATGAAGTGATTTGCACCTGCTATATCCTTAATAGTGGTTCCAATACAGTAGTATACTAGGAATGCAATAAATGTCTGTTAAATAATTTTGAGCTAGAAGTAGGAGGAAAATCATTAAATGATGCATTTTAAAAATACTACCTTTTTTTTTTTTTTGAGACAGAGTTTCACTATGTTCCCTGGGCTAGAGTGCCATGGTGTCAGCCTAGCTCACAGCAACCTCAAACTCCTGGGCTCAAGCAATCCTCCTGCCTCAGCCTCCCAAGTAGCTGGGACTACAGGAATGTACCACCATGCCTGGCTAATTTTTTCTATATATATTTTTAGTTGGCCAATTAATTTCTTTCTATTTTTTTAGTAGAGATGGGGTCTCGCTCTTGCTCAGGATGGTTTCGAACTCCTGACTTGGAGCCATCCTCCTGCCTCAGCCTCCCAGAGTGCTAGGATTACAGGCATGAGCCACCACACTCGGCCCAGAAATAATACCTTTTAAACATAGTTGTGTTGTAGATTTTTACGAGACTTCAAAACTAGGAGCACTTTCTTTTTTTATAAATTTTGTAATTTTATAATTATATCGTAAAAAATTGTCCAGGAGCCCAACTGTCAAAGCAGCAAAACAAAATTGTTATAAATCAATGTTTTTTAAATGCCCACCTTGTTTTTTAACAACTGTAATGATTAAAAGGCCGGCTTGCTAAGCAGTGAGTTGGTGTGACTAGTGAGTGAAAACAACCAGCCAGTACCAAAACTGACACTTACAGTGATTCCAGAGCAGTCTTGGTCCCAGTGTGGCAGCTGTGACTAGGCCAGAGAGCTGCTTTAGGGTAATAGGTTGCACTTGTACAGTGCTGTGTGGCCAGTGTGTATGCTATATATGCACTTACATGTAAAATGCCTATTGTGTATTTTTGTGCTCTTTAAAACTAAGATAGCTAAACTCTAGAGATATTATTAATCTGCACTGAGTCAAATTCAATATTTTGTGCTGGTATGCTCTCCTAACTGCTTATTTTTTAGTCTTTTTTTATAATGCAATTAACTCTTTTTTTTTTTTTTTTTTTTTTTTGAGACAGAGTCTCACTTTGTTGCCCAGGCTAGAGTGAGTGCCGTGGCGTCAGCCTGGCTCACAGCAACCTCAATCTCCAGGGCTCAGCGATCCTACTGCCTCAGCCTCCCGAGTAGCTGGGACTACAGGCATGCGCCACCATGCCCGGCTAATTTTTTGTATATATATTTTTAGTTGGTATTAAATTTTAATTTATTTCTATTTTTGGTAGAGACGGGGTCTTGCTCAGGCTGGTTTCGAACTCCTGACCTTGAGCCATCCGCCCGCCTCGGCCTCCCAGAGTGCTAGGATTACAGGCGTGAGCCACCGCGCCCGGCCTAATGCAATTAACTCTTACTGAAATGATTATTTAATCAGAAAGAGTGGGTCACATAAATTAAAATTATGATTCTAAAGTATATAGAATTAAGCTGGGTGCAGTGGCACATACCTGTAGTCCCAGCTACTTCAGAGGCTGAGACAGAAGGAAAGCATATATTATAAAATTGTACCTATTTCTCTAATTACAAAGAACCATTTACTAACTCCTGAGTTCACGGGTCACTGTCTCTAACCTTGTCACTTCATGGGCATCATTCCATGTGTCCTTTCTCTTGTAGGTGGTGATGGCACTTCTCAAATACTGGCCAAAGACTCACAGTCCAAAAGAAGTAATGTTCTTAAACGAATTAGAAGAGATTTTAGATGTAATTGAGCCATCGGAATTTGTGAAGATCATGGAGCCTCTTTTCCGGCAGTTAGCCAAGTGTGTCTCCAGCCCACACTTCCAGGTATGTGGGACCTGGGGACAGAGAATTGCACTCTTTCAGGATCTTCATTTAGGTAGTCTGGTGGTAGAAGCCTTTAGCTCTGAAATTCTCTCCCTTCATAAGCTCTTCATTTCTGGCATTGTATAAACTTGTCTCCCCGTACCCTTTAAAAGAGATTTATAGTTCTGATTTTTGTCACTACCGAAGTCCAGAGTGAGAAGGCTGCATTAGCCAGAGCTGCCTTCCACTTTCTTCTCCCAAGTTCCTTCTTAACCCTTAAGCGAGCCTCAGCTCTCCAGCTCTCGGAGGCTGTCATCCCCAGGGGCCTCGTCAGCCTGTCTGCCTCCATCTGCCACCCATCCTTTTGCATTGTTGAGCGACATTTATTGTGTACTCGTCATAAACAAGGCAAAAATCTAGGTTCAAAATGAGCAAGACCTCGCACTGTCCGGGGAGTGGGTGATACAGTGGAAGGCGAAGGCTGTGTAGCAAGGGTTGGGTGGATTTGGGGAACACATCAGAGTTACCTCCCCGAGCCTGGGTGACCAGCAAAAGGCCACAAAGGTAAGGGGTCTTCCACAGTGAGCCTTTCAGGATGGTTATGAAGGGGTCATTGAAACCAACAAAATTCAGACAAGAAAGCACAGTAAGTAACAACTAAGAAGTCTGCCTGGAGCGTGGGTGGCAGTTGTGAAGGGATGAGGGCTGAGTTGGGGTCAGAGAAGGGAGTCTCTTCCACGGCAGATAATGGAGTTGTTCTTATTTTAGAAATTTCTGCAAGTTCTCACATGAGGACTTAGGAAAGGAAAATAGTGGTTGTCAAAACTTACAGTGTGAGCAGTTTGCAGAGAGGAATAAGGTGTCCTAGAAGCTATAGCGTCAGCACCGCAGGGCACGGGCCAGAGCACCTGGTACTGGAGCACCAAGAAGAGACTAGGGGTCTTTGGAAGCTTCCTGAAACCTGAACCCCTTCCCCAAGTGCAGAAATAACTGTTTACATAGGTAACATTACACTTCCAAGAGAAGACAGAGGCGAATGAAATCGTCATGTGTCATTTTGAATAAAAGCATGTGACAGGAACACAAGGAAGAGAATTCCAGGTGGGGCAGACAGTGTGAGAGGCTGTGCAACTGCAAGGAGCCAGGGGATGGGGCTGCCGTCCCACGTGTGCGGAGGCCTTGCCTCCCACGGGCCACCCCAGCCGAGCACAGAGTGTGAGGGGACACCAAGGCAGACCGTGACGCCTGAGGGTGAGACTGGCACCAGGACTCCCTGCAGCCATCAACTGGAGGCTCCCCTCCCCAGCCCCTGACTGTCTCATCTCTGTCCCCACGGAGGCTGAGCCCATCCTGGCTTCTGCTTCAGATCAGCAGAGTCCTTTCCATAATCTTTCCAGACACACATACGTGAGCCCAGTTCATTCTTAACTTTTAGAATTTTTTTATCAAAAAAAAAAAAATTGCTGGTGGTAAAAACTGAAAAAAATTTCAAAACTTAAACCATCAACCATATTAAGCTTCTGTTTTCTAATTCAGGCTTAAAATATTGAGGATAGATAGAGAGATGCCTTTTTAAATACAGGGAATGGAACTCTTAAATAAGAATTAGTTTACCAGCTGTGATCGTGACCTTTTTTTTTGATTCACACTCTGTGTTCTTGTATATGTCCATCCTTCCCACTTCAGCTAATTCACTCCTGTTTTACAGAGTTCATCCCAGCTCACTGCCTCTGAGAAATCTTCCCTGATTCTTGAGCTTGGCACAGTTTCACCCGCCATTCTCTCTGCATCCCACCCGCACACATGGCGCCACGATCTCAGAATCTCTAGGCTGTAGGCTTCTGGCAGCAGAAATGTCAGCCCCCTCTGCTCAGAGCGTCTGAGTGCTGCTGTCAGATCTGTGCAAATGTAGGTGTGATGACAGCATGTGGTTATGTAGAAGAAGCTCCTCTTATCAGGGAAGTGTATACTGTGACTGGGACCAGCCAGGTGCCCTGGGGCTGCCCCCAACTCTCAGATGGTTCTGCAGAACGTGCACGTATGTGCTTGTTGATTATGGAGACAGCAAATAGGTGTGAACTATTGGTGGATCTGGGTGGAGGGAGGTGCACACTCATCATACTAGCCTTTCAGCTTTGTATATGTGTGAAAGTTTTAATAATAAATATGGGGAACCCTCCAATGCCTTCCCATGAGTCAGGGCCAGCAGGCCCGGGCTCCTGATAAGCCTCAGTGACCTCAGTTCCTCCTGTACCCGCCTTACTCATTCACTGCCCCGCTATCTTCCCCATTGGTCCTCAGCCACCATGCTGGCATCTCAGGACCTCCCTCTGGTCCCTGCTCAGATGTCAACTCCTCTACGTTGAAGCCACAGCTCCCCACGCACACCACCACTGCTCATCCCCCGCCCTGCTGCCTTTCACTGCACAACTTTTCATGTCTAGTATATTAAAGAATCATCCATCATCTGTCCTCCTCCCTGCTAGAACAGAAGCTTCGTGAAGGCAAGGATTTCTGCCTTGGTTTCACTGCTAAGTGCTCAGTACAGAAGCACGTCTCACACCTGGAGACCTAAGAAACATGGGGCAGTGACGGAGGGAGTGGGGTGCTAGCGGGATGGAACAAACTCCTTTGATTGGGTCCTCAGGGTCTAGCTCAGTGTCTAGCACAAATGTTTATTGAATAAATAGAGAAATAAGTGAGTGTTCTTGATTTCTTGATCATCAAGAAATTATCTGCTTTGTTGACAGCTCTTCAAGGTTATAATCTAGAATATTTTGAATTTATGGAAATAATCGTAACTTTCTGATCCAGTATGATTAGTTATTCTCTTTGTAGGTTTGACAGTAAGGACCCCTGCCTAACGTTTCTAAGCATAGTCATCACCAGCATCAGGCATGCACTTCTGTCTTCCAGGTGGCGGAGCGGGCACTGTATTATTGGAATAACGAGTACATCATGAGTTTGATCAGTGACAACGCAGCCAAGATTCTGCCTATCATGTTCCCGTCCTTGTACCGCAACTCGAAGACCCATTGGAACAAGTAAGAACGAGCTGGCTCTCATCTTTTCTAGTCACTTTTAAATGTTGCATATTTTGCTAATGGTTCAATTAGAATGAAAATCTAAATTTTAAATATCAGTTACAAAACAAAAATATTGATTCCTTTGTATTTTTACTTAAGGAGGATGAATAAATCAATTTACTAAGCAACACTTTCGAAACTTTAAAAGAAAATTGCCAATGCAATGTGGGTGCCATATTTTTTAGTACTGAATTTAATACTCCTGTTATTTATATAAATATGAGTAGCAGTTTTTGTTTCTCCATCTTCTTTCATTTTTTTCCTTTGTATATTATACTCATAACTCAGAATTTAAAGCAGGCAGAGCAGAGCTACTATGATATCTAGTCCTGCTCCCTTATTTTATCGAAAATAAGTGAAAAGCACAGTGATTCTTGGAGGGAACAAGGAGCCCACCTGAACTGGTGAGCGGCTCTCTGGTTCCAGCGCCCCTGCTACCGCGGGCTAGCCCTCTGTGCACCCATCCTGCCTGCTCAAGGTTGCAGGGGTGCTGCCCCGCCTCAGAAGCAAGCCACAAGGCAGCAGCCAGACAGGTATTAGCCTGCCTAGAGCCCTGGAGCACTGAGCCAGGCCAAGAGCACACAGAACTCTGGGCGTTGGCCATCCAGGAGGTGACTAAAGAATGGCAGACAGACCACAGCCAGCCTGACTTTGCTTCACGTTCTCGCTCCACGGCTAACCGTCTGTCTGGACCTAGGCAAGTGAGCTCTCTAGGTCTTTCTCAGCCAGTTTTCTCATCTGAAAAATAGAGAAAATAAATTGCTTTTCTTTGCAGCAACCTTCACCTGGTTGTGCAGATTAAGGTAGAGTTAATATATATAAAGTACCTGGCACATGCTTGAAGCAAACTTTTTTTTTTTTTTTTTTTGAGACAGAGTCTCACTTTGTTGCCCAGGCTAGAGTGAGTGCTGTGATGTCAGCCTAGCTCACAGCAACCTCAATCTCCTGGGCTAAAACAATCCTGCTGCCTCAGCCTCCCGAATAGCTGGAACTACAGGCATGTGCCACCATGCCCAGCTAATTTTTTTCTATATATATTAGTTATAGTAGAGACGGGGTCTCGCTCTTGCTCAGGCTGGTTTTGAACTCCTGAGCTCAAACGATCCACCTGCCTCGGCCTCCTAGAGAGCTAGGATTACAGGCGTGAGCCACCGCGCCCGGCCTTGAAGCAAACATTGAGTACGTGTTTGCCATTGCTCTGTGACTGCAGGACTAGCAGTGGTGCTGCTCTTGGGGGCGGCAGCGGCGGCAGCTGGGACCATCATAGCAATAGTACAGCAGTCATGGCTGTTAGCACAGTATTGCCACTTTCAACAACCTTTTCTTTGTAACAGTCTTTTTTTTTTTATTGCACAGAACAGATGATAACAAAGGCCCCCAGGGTTTCACTGTATGTCCTGTGAATCACTTAGTATGACATGAAAGCCAGCACAGTTAGTAACTGACTTTCATTTCATACCCTTTGCAAAGACAAAGAGTATTCTTTTAAGTGTTTTCTAAATACAATTTAGGTTTTATTATAAAATGGATTAAGAAGTGGTTGTGATTTGAGAGTTAAGCTATTTGTTTTTTGTTTTTAACTCTGTTGTATTGTTGCTCACAATTCTGTGGGTTGACCAGGCTCTGCTAGGCAGTTTTTCTGCTTATCTCCCTTGGGGGCTCTTAAGCATTGCAATCAGGTGGCATCTGGGACCAGAGACGTCCATAGGCTCAGCTGGGACAGTTCGGCCTCTCTCCCTCTCCATGTATGTCAGGGCCCCACAGCTAAGTTCTGACTAAACTGTCCCATGCTAATTTTATTTTCTACCTTTCAAAGCTCTAATTCGGCATTATTAAAATTAATTTTTCTGTTCTCAGTGAATTAAGATTGAGAGGAAACTGACATTTATAGAAAATAGTTATCCTCTTACTGTCCTCTTCATAATTTTGTCTTAATTATATTTGTTCAAGTTTCAACATTTTTATCCAACTTCCAAGCAAGGTGGCACCTGGCTACTGTCAGCCAGGCTATAGGCCAGGCAGCCTGCTGTGCTGGTGTGACGGCCAGCGAGAGGGGAGCGCCCACAGGTCTGTGCGCTGACTCTAAGGAACGAAAGTGAACGAATCACAGCTAACAGGCTTCTCATTTGGAGGCTCGGGAGCTAGTGGAATGTGGGGCTGCGGCAGAGGTGGGGAGGGGACCCCAAGTTTCACTGTGAAGTTTTCTTTATAGGACGATACATGGCTTGATATACAATGCTCTGAAACTCTTCATGGAGATGAACCAAAAACTATTTGATGACTGCACTCAACAGTTTAAAGCAGAGAAACTGAAGTAAGTTGCTCCTTTCGCAAGTTACTGTTTCCAGGAGGGTTTTTTCCCTTAATCCTGAATAAACCTCTTCCACTGTTTTGTCCTAAAAAGTGAATTTTTCACTTTAAAGCAAAACCAGTCGTCTTATACTTAGAAAGCATGTTAAAACTATGATAATAACTTATTACAGAACACGTGTTTAAAGTTAGCTATTCTCTCCCTTATATTACTGGTTTAACCCTCTTTGCAAAAAGTGCATGTGAAGTCAAGAATTTAACATTCTGAATTTCTTCTTTTCTCAGGGGATACTGACAGACTATAATGTGTAGTAATTTTTCTTGTTTGTAAGGCGGGAATTTGAATTATGAGAGAGCAAGAGTCTTCATTTCAGTGTAGCTTTATTCTAATTTAAGGATCTCCATGAATGTGGGCATTCTCTGGAATCTAGTCTGTCCTTTGCAAAATCAGGATCCTGCTCTCATGCCTTTGAGGACTTTAGAGCCCACATCTGTCCATGGATGGTCTAGGTGACAAGGTGCTCTGTCCCTAGACTATGTAAGTAATAATATGATTAAGTTATCAAAAGTCACTTTGAAGAGTTGAGTGTGGACTGTTGGCAGATTTTATCCTTTGCTTATCACTTAAAACTAGCTAAGATAGGCCAGGCCCAGTGGCTCATGCCTGTAATCCTAGCACTCTGGGAGGATCGCTTGAGCTCAGGAGTTCAAGACCAGCCTGAGCAATAGCAAGACCCCATCTCTACTAAAAATAGAAAAATTAGCCACGCATCATGGCATGCATCTATAGTCCCAACTCCTCAGGAGGCTGAGGCAGGAGGATCGCTTGAGCCCAGGAGTTTGAGGTTGCTGTGAGCTATGACGACGCTACAGCACTCTACACAGGGTGACAGTGAGACTCTGTCTCAAAAAATAAAAATAAAAAAGCTGGCAAAGATAAGTTCTGAATGACTGTAACTCAAAATACAGTATATATAATATATATACACACACATAAAACTGTCATTAATTTTTTTACACAAATATGTGTATACCTATATGCCAGGCCCTATTTTAGGTTCTGGCATTACAGCAATGAATAAAACATAAAAAATGTAGCAAAGGGCCACAGCAAGATGGGCCAGCTGTTTCTTTAGGCCTGCAAGCTGTGTGGTCCTCATCTCAGAGCTCAACACAGTGTTCAAATTTGAAACACATGAGCACCAGGGCTTTTCTCATGGCAGATCCTCCTCCCATAGAATACCGTGGCTTTCTAAAAGGGACCTTGGAGATCATGTAGTACATTTTCTAGCTCCAAAGGTACTTTATGAATCCAAAAATCAGATCCAAGTTAAGGGATTTACGGAAGGTCATGTAACTCTAATGGTAGAATCAGCAGCCCAGGTCTCCTGCTTGTAAGGCTGCTCCCTTTTAATGTTGTCAGAATTGGAATGCTGGCTCTTTTTACCTTGTTCCTTTATGGTGTGGTATAGTCTCATTTGTCAGGGGATATATAAAGCTTTTCATCGAAATTATATAGGTCTTGGCCAAGTGCAGTGTCTCACACCTGTAATCCCAGCACTTTGGGAGGCTGAGTTGGGAGGATGGCTTGAGGCCAAGAGTTTGAGACCAGCCTGGGCAACATAGTGAGACTCTTGGCTCTACCCCCCCAAATAAAGAAAAAAAATTTTTTTTAAAGATATGTAGGTCCTATAAAGAAGCAGCTAACCCAGGGAAGAAGGTTGGAAACATAAGATTTACTTGAGTAAGATTTTTTTAAGAATTAAAATCTTAGACATGATAAATTTTTAGCCTTTTCATTAGTTTTTTTTAAATCTTTACCTCTAAATCATAGTTGGTTTTTAATTTCATTTTTCATGTTATGTACATTGCGATCAACACTATGAAGTTTATGGAATGAGACCAGAAAGTAACAAAGGACAAACAGGTGTTTATGTTGCTGGACATATCTGTGCTTTTTCACCTTTAACATTTTCTTGACTATGAGTCATGTCTCTAATACAAATGACATTTTACTATTTTTCAGAGAGAAGCTAAAAATGAAAGAACGAGAAGAAGCATGGGTTAAAATAGAAAATCTAGCCAAAGCCAATCCCCAGGTACTAAAAAAGAGAGTAATATGAAAATGTCCAGGGTATTACTTGAATGGTTTTCTAAAATAGGAATATGTCTTCATCACGGGAGGTGGGAAATCAGTTTCACTAACATTGTATATGAAAATGTCTGCAATAAAAAATACTTTTCAACTTTGTAACCCTCCTCTTGTACAAGTACTTATTTTGCCCCATGATGTTTTTACCACAGAATTGACTTTTTTCCTCTGCTTTTTAAATAAGATATGAATCTTATAAATATACTGTGGCAAAAAAAAAAAAAAAATGTAACCTCTACTTTGGACCAAAACTATACTTTGCTTTCTCTCTCAAATGTCATAGATGCTGTAGCTCAAACGCTATTTCTCTTTCTTTTTAATATCAAATTAATCCCAAAAGTAAGGAAATTTGATTTCAAATAGATTAAGTATGTAGTTGATATCCTTTTTCCTAGTCTTAGGTTTTATAGGCTCAGCCTTTTACTGCTAAGGATTAATTCTGCCATATTAGTGATTGACCGGTCCTTCTCCCGACCCTAGCCAGCAGGTGCCAGTGTGCGCCAGCAAGTGGGCACAGTGCTCGCACCTTCTGGAGCTGCCGGCAGTTCCAGCAGCCAGGTCTGCGGTGGCCTGGGAGAGTTTCGTAGTCGTGGTCTTTTGGTTTTGTGTGCACTGATCTAAATGATTAGAGCATTATCCTTACAAAAGTTTCTTTTTGTTCTGTGTGCCTGTCTGGTTATAACAGTATCTCATAATGAAAATCATTTGCCTGAATCTGCCACACTAAGAATTCTCAGGCTTTCCTCAAATCCCCAGAAAAGAAATTATTTTACTAAACAATGTATATATTTCTTTTAGTGAGAGGTATGCATAAATAATTATGTAAATATGTAGGTTTTTTAAATTTCCCTGACAATTAATAAAAAGTGATGTATGAATATAAAGTTTAAAGTATATATTTTACCTATATAACAACATATTGATCTGTATTCCCTTTGATAAAACTATAATCAAGAAACATGAACTAGGCCTGGCGCTGTGGCTCACGCCTGTAATCCTAGCTCTTGGGAGGCCGAGGCGGGCGGATTGCTCAAGGTCAGGAGTTCAAAACCAGCCTGAGCAAGAGCGAGACCCCGTCTCTACTTTTTAAAAAAAAAAAAAAAAGAAACATGAACTATAGGAAAATTGAATGACATTCTTAATCATATGTCCTCGAGTCTACCTAAAACAAGTAACCAGCACTTTTCTAACAGTACTTATTCATATTCTTACATAGAAATGCTGTTTTAAGATTATTATCTGAAACTGTATAATATTTAATTGAGGTAGATAGCTATAAGTATTATAATTTAATGAATAGGATTTATGTTAAAAGTGACGTTAAAGTACTGATATTTGTTTTAAAACATAGTAGAAGCTTGAATCTAGGGCAGGTTTAGATGGCTCAGCCCTGCCTAACATTGCCCCTGGATGTCTTGCTTTGTTTTGAAGGGCCACGTGCAGATGGAGTGCGACAGGCATCCCTAATGACATTGTCAAGGGCCCCAGCACTACCAATATCAACAGCCTCGGGAAGCATATATACATATATATATATATATATATATATATATAGATGGATCTCGGAGGGTCTGAGTTATTTACTTAGAATATAGGCACCACCTATCAAAAATGCATAAAACTTTTAAATTACAATTGAAGAAGAGCTCGTTCGTTTTGACAGACAATGGCCTGGTTTCACTACTGTATTGTAAGCAATGTTCCTTCTGAAATATATATTGTTCTCTTTTCCCTTTTTCTGCACTTATTCTGAGTTTTCTCAAGTGACTTTTGAAATTCTTTTTAGTTGGTTTCTTTAAAATCATCTATGATGATAACATAAACATATAGTGGGTTTGCATTGGAGCTTTGGTGACCTCCTGTGATGCTGCGATCTTAGTGCTGTCCTGAGCCCTCGTGTCTGTGTTGTGCCATCTGTGACTCAGTCCCCACGGTCCTGTCCACACACTCCAGTTCCATGGTACAGTGTCTCTCAAATGGAAAATACTTCATGGGTCAGTACTCAGAGCTGGAAACTATGGCCTCAGTACTTGCTTTTCATTCTCTCGAGAGAAAATCTTTTCTAAATACTGATCACTGCTTGCCATTTCAGAAAGTAAACCATTTGGTGGATAATACACTTTGCTGCGTATTTTCATAATCAAAATAGTTGGGTTTTTGAAGCTTGGTTTTCCATCTCAAATTTGCCTTTTTGAGAATCAACTTACTGGGTGGGCCCGGTGGCACACGCCTATAATCCCAGGTGCTCAAGAGGCTGACGCGAGAGGATCGCATGAGCCAAGGAGTTTGAGACCAGCCTGGGCGATTATGGCAAGACCCTGTCTCAAAAAATAAGAAAGAGAAAGACAGAGGGAGAATGGATTTACTGGCTTTGTTTTTTTAAAGTGACTCACAGTAGTTCACTGATGTCTACTTAGAAGTCCTCCTGATGCTGCCGTTGTTTTTTACAGGCCAAGTATTTCGTCTAGTCTCAGACAAGGATGCCTGTCGAGTGAGGCAGTTGGGGATTTGGGAAAGCTTTTGTGCCTTCAGCATTCTGTCTTGTCTGTTTTAGCAGTTGTGGCATCTTCATTGGGTTCTTTTACTGTCACATGATTTAATTTTTTTTAAATCATGAAATGTTGAAGATTTCTAACGTAAATGTGTTTCTCCTGATGCTCCAGAAGAGGCCATATACCATTTTACTGCTGGTTCCCCCGGCTTTCGTGGGAGTCACGTGAGATGACGTCACTGTTCACGTGAACCTTACGCGTCGATGTGCCTCGGCGTTTCTTTCCTTTGCAATGACCAGAACGATGCCGCAGCACCCTGGGCTCTGCGCTGTGCATCTGCCTTTGCTTTGAGAGATGAGCTTAGACAAGGAAATGTGTATTCTTCTACCCTATTACAAACTTCAGCCTCAGTGAAGGTTTTTATTCCTAGTAAGGATCCTTTCCTGCTGGTACCTGCTGTGAGACATTCATTTCCTCCTGCTTAAGGGGACTGTCCTTTGCCCTGAGTGCCAGGGAGCTGTGCTCTAAGTACAGGCTGTTTGATGGGTTCTGCGGAAAGCACTGCAGTTTAGTTTGTTTTGTTTTGTTTTGGTTTGGTTTTTGATTGTTTTATTTTGAGCAGTCAAAAGCTGAAATACTGGTTTTAAATAGTCCCCTGCACCATCTCATGAGCACTGCAGTCATTTATGTTTCTGTATCTTCCCACCTGACTGGGAACCTCCTCGAGTACGAGGCACTGTGTGTGTCCCGAATCGTGGAAATTTCCAGAGGTACAAAGATAAGAACAAGACCACAGCCCTCAGCCTCAAGGAGCTCAGGACCCGTGAGGGAGCAGAGGGGCCAGAGAGAGCTCAGTTCAGGTAGCGCAGTGGTAACACAGCCCCAGGTACTACACTAGAGGTGCAGTGAACAGCTTGTTCATGTTTTTAGAAAGAAATGGTGTGGGCATGCGACGGCCACAGCGGAGAGGTGCCCAGGGCACCAGGGGCCTTGCTGGGCCTCTTGAAGTCTGACTGTGCAGACATGGCAGTAGGAATTTGGGGAAGGTGCCCGAGGCTGAGATAGAGAAGAGTGAAGAGGCCGCCAGCCTGAGCCTGGGCCATCAGCAGGCATGGTCTGGGTGTGGTCTGCATGAAAGATGAAGCTGGAGAGGGTGGGACAAGTTTGGCTTTTATCCCCAAAGATGTGAGCAGATATTAAAGAGCCAGAAAGGGCAAAATGACCTGGTCAGACTTACATTTTCAAAAGCGCTTCTGGCGGCAGCATGGCTGGAAGGGGCTGGCGGGGTGGGGGCTCTGTAGAAACGTGTGGAGGTGGCGCAGGACAGACCTGCCGGAGGAAGGAGCCAGGTGGAGGGTGTGGCTCCAGCTGCGTGAGAGGGAGGAAGGAGGCGGGTGGGCCTGGAGCTGAGGGCTGAGCGGGGAGGTGGGGAAGCCACACATGCACAAGGAGGGGTCACGGGCAAGAGGTGGGAGCCCGCCAGGAAGTGTGTAAAAGGGCCAGAGACCGCAGAGGAAATAGGAACCTAGGTGGCCCTGGAGGGAGGAGAAAGACCAAAGAAGGCCGGTGCTGCAGAGACAGGGGGAGGTTTGGGATGGCTGTGTTCAAGTACATCTTCCAGGGGGAGGTCCGATAAGGCAAAAGTAAAGAATGGCTCAGATGCCAGGAGGTTTCTGACAACCCCGGTGCCATTGCCCCGCTGGAGAGGTGCGAGCCGAAGCCAACCATGTGGCCCACGGCTGAGAATTCTGGGGTGGGGAGAGGCTGCAGGGCAAGGGACTCTGAACCCAGCTGCCCCCTTAGGTGCTCTGAGACATTGAGCAAATTACCCAACCTCTTCGTGCCTCAGTTCCCCCATTAGCCACATGGTAGTGGCGGTACACACGTGTCTGTCTGCTGCAAGGAGAATGAGGCACTTAGCGTGGTCCCCAGTTCACAATAGACACAGATGCTTCTCCCTCCCATCGTCCTCCCCCCACAGAGCACACACTGGACACTCACAATCAGGCTGTCTTGTTTGGCCATCACGGCAACCCTCCAAGGTGGTCTTACCCCTGCTACACTCGGAAACAGAAAGTCAGCAGGCCCAAGGAACTGCTGAGCCCTCTGCAGTTCAAACCACAGCCTGCCTGGCCTGGGCACAAGGGGAGTGGACAAGTCACAGGGCCACCCTGCAGGGAACTGGACAGGGAGGGGGGGCGGCACGTGGGTATGCCAGGGGTCCTACCGCCACGGAAGATCCTGCATATGGGAGCACCTGCCATTCCCAGCAGCGCCAGCAGGGGTGGGTGGAGTGGAGATGGAGCTGTCACACTAACCCAGGCTGTGCTCGTTTGGTAGAGAACAAAGACTTTGGGGATGGGATGAAAGGGTGTGAGCAAGTTAGGAAAATGCTGAGAAAATGGGATAAATGGAGTGGGGGCAGTGCCTCGATGAGGAAGATGATGTGAAGGGAAATCACCCTCAAAGTTAGCAGGTTGTATGCAAAGAATGGGAGGTTACAGGTGAAGGTTCCAGCAGTGAAACCGATCCCAGTGACCAATCCCATGGCCTAACCCCTTGCGTGTGGTTGCTTGTGTGGAGTCAGAGCATCAGAGACTTCCAGGCCTGGCGCGAGCTGACCGTGCGTCAGGTACTAGGGGACCCGGGAGGGCCTGGAAGCAACCTCTGGGCCGGCAGAAGGCCAGAGTGCAACCAGGATTGCAGAGGACACAGCTTTCTGGTTTCAGAAGATGGCAGGGCCAACTGGGCTGCAGTTGTAGTCGAGTGTTCCCCATCAAGTGGGCTTCAGGCTGGAGGAGGTTCTGGGGGAGGGCGACAGGGGAGACATGTCCCCTGGCCAGGGCGAGCACCCTCGGAGTTCACAACCTGAGCGCCTAACAGAGAGTGATTGCACACTTTGCATTGCAGTACTCATTGCATAGTCAAGCGAGCGGCATGAGCCTTCCGGTTGCAATGGAGACAGATGGGCCTTTATTTGAAGATGTGCAGATGCTGAGAAAGACAGTGACCGACGAGGCTCGTCAGGTAAAAGCGCACAGAGCTCAGCCGGGTGCGCTCCTTATAGATTCGCTTACAGTTCTAGCAGGAGACGTGCTATGTCTCTGTGCCTTCTGTTTAAGCTAAAACTAAAAATTAAATTTTGATAATCATATAGGAAACATGTTGTCTGTAGAGCTTAGTGATCAATTACTAGGAATAATTTTAAGGGTTAAGTATGTGCCTGGAATTTGTTTCGTTTACTTTAACAGTAATAATCCCAATTCTTAACTATTCTTTAAATGTTAACTTGAGCAAAATCAGAAGCTTCGCAGCAGTATCTTACCACTAGCTTTTCCCTTCGCATCCCTCTGACTTTTGCTCTGGCCCAGAGATGTCCCTTTTAGCTTTTCGCAGCAAGTACTAATGATCCCCCTCCCCAGGACACCAGATAGAGAGGCCTTGTCCTTGTCTTCATTGTTGTGGTTGTCCTCCTCGTGGTGGTGGTGGTGGTGGTGGTGGTGGTGGTGGTGGTGGTGGTGGTGGTGGTCGTCGTCCTCCTCCTCCTCTTCCTCTCCCTCCCCCCCCACCCCACCCCCACTGTCTTTCTGTGCCTTTGTTGCAGGGCCAGGCTCTGTCCCAACACCTCTAGTGCTCCAGTGGTTCTGTTTCCATTATTGTGGAAATAAATATTTAGTCACCACTGTTAAAGAGAGCCTCCTGTTCCTCTTTTTACTAAACTGGGAATGTATATTCCCTATTTCAAATAACATGTAAACAGACGTAGTCCCAAGTGGGTGTGGGGACATTGTCCTTTGTCACTTAGAAATTGTAATCCCCTTTGACCAGTGAGGGAATTCCTAAAGACATCCCGCTCCAGAATCCTGATGTGCAGAAAATGAGAGAGGCTGAAATTACCCTGTCATTGCACACTGCATGCTGTATGCAGATGGTTTATGATTCTAGTGCCATTTGGGGCTCAGTGACACAGAGAGGGTTTTTTTAAATCTATTTGAGTGTGATTCAAGTAAATCCTATCCCCACCTGATGAGACGTTACCAAGAGCACAAGCCACGCTGTCCCCCGGGCAGCCACAAGCCACACTTGGCTACAGAGCACTTGATGTGGAGCACATGGGAATTGGGCTGTGCTGTCAGAGTAGAATGCCCACGAGCATTCAGGACTTAGTATGAAGAGAAGAATGTAAAAACTTCTCATTCGTTTGATTTCAACAGTATTGATTACATGTCAAAATAATCACCTTTTGGGAATGCAGGTTCAGTAGCCCTTATCTAAAATGCTTGGGACCAGCAGTGTTTTGGAATTCAGGTTTTTACAGATTTTGGAATATTTGCATATGTACACTTACTAGTCTGAGAATCTCTGATCCAAAAATTTGAAATATAAAATGTTCCAGTGAACATTTCCTTTGAGCATCATGTTAGCACTCAAAAACTTCCGGATTTTGGAGCATGTTGAATTTTAAATTTTTGGATTAACCTGTATTGGATTAAAATATATTGTTAAAATGAATGGCCCCCATTTGTTTTAACTTTTTTTTTTTTTTTTTTTTTTTGAGACAGAGTCTCGCTTTGTTGCCCAGGCTAGAGTGAGTGCCGTGGCGTCCTAACTCACAGCAACCTCAAACTCCTGGGCTCGAGTGATCCTTCTGCCTCAGCCTCCCGGGTAGCTGGGACTACAGCATGCGCCACCATGCCGGCTAATTTTTTTTTTTTTTATATATATATCAGTTGGCCAATTAATTCTTTCTATTTATAGTAGAGAGGGTCTCGCTCTTGCTCAGGCTGTTTTGAACTCTGACCTTGAGCAATCCGCCCGCCTCGGCCTCCCAAGAGCTAGGATTACAGGCGTGAGCCACAGCGCCCGGCCTGTTTTAACTTTTTTGATGTGAACACTAGAAAATTTGGAATTACATCATGGCTGGCATTGTGTTTTGTGCAAGGAAAGGGCTCTGGGTGCCAGCACCTGTGGTGGCTTTTTTTTTTTTTTTTTTTTGAGACAGAGTCTCACTCTGTTGCCCAGGCTAGAGTGCTGTGGCATCAGCCTAGCTCACAGCAACCTCAAACTCCTGGGCTCAAGCGATCATTCTGCCTCAGCCTCCCAACCAGCTGGGACTACAGGCATGCACCACCATGCCCTGCTAATTTTTCTGTTTTTAGTAGAGACGGGGTCTCGCTTTTGCTCAGGCTGGTCTCGAACTCCTGAGCTCAAGCAATCCTTCCGCCTCTGCCTCCCAGAGTGCCGGTATTACAGGTGTGAGCCACCATGCCTGGCCATTGTTAACTGTATTTATCTGCCTCTTCCTGCCCACTTAGCTGGTTCCTCAACTTAGGTGAAGATGAAAAATGTGAATGAATACATCTTTTAGTTCATCAAAGCCTGAAAATACTAAAAATATAGTGGAAAAGTTCAGTGAACACTTGGTGAACATCAATAACTAATTTTCTGTCTAGTTCCATACTTTCTTCACAATATTCTTAGCAATGAGTAGATTTCATCAAAAATATGAAAATTCATATATTTGTCTCTGTTTGTGAGGGTGTTAACATTCCTCCTAGGTATTTTTTGAATTTAGGAATTTAAGGTTACCTTTTTGATTACAGTTTTGATATTATGGCTTCAAATTTGCTAAAGACATGTGAGCTGGCCTCCGTGCTGCAAACAGTCAGAAGGAAGTCAAAATCAGCATCTCTGTTGTGAGGAAGCCTGCCTTGGAATTTGTTAGTACACATTCATTTTTAAGATATTAGGCCAGCCTGGGCACAGTGGCCTGTAATCCCAGTACTTTGGGAGGCCAGTGTGGGAAGATTGCATGAGACCAGGAGTTCAAGACCAACATAGGCAACATAGTGAGAGCCCCATTTCTACAAAAAAATTAAGAAATTAGCCAGGCATGATGGATGGTGCATGCCTATAGTCTCAGATACTCAGGAAGCTGAGGCAGGCAGATCACTTGAGCAGGATCTAAACAGGAGTTCCAGATCACTTGAACAGGAGTTCCAGGCTGCAGTGAGCTGTGATCACACCATCACACCACTGAACTCCAGACTGGATAACAAGGAGTGACCCTATCTCAAAAAAAATTAAAATTTTAAAAACAATTTTTTTTAAAAAAGGCATTAGGCCACACAAAATTGAAAAGGAAGTTGATGGTTTACAAGGTAATTCTTACACATTAAATATTTTAGGGTTGGGGAATTTTTCTTTTTTAATATTTCCTTTGACTAGGTCAGAATTAAAGCTAGGAAAAGAATAAACTATGCCCAAAATGTAATGAACCCGAAGCTTATGGACATACTTACAATTTAGGACATACTTTGTAGATCAAGAACTTGATCAAGAACACAAACCAAAGTAACATTCTCCTTTTGAGTAAAGCTGCCTTTGAAAGTCAGCGCCAGTGTTTGTATGCTACCCAGTGCCACAGAGCCCTCCCAACTGGCTGATCTGTCCACTGCCCTTAGAAAGGGGCCAGTCCCCTCCCCGATCACCTGTGTAGTGATGGGAGGAGTCAGTCCTGTAGTCGTCTGCGCAGTTAGTTCTAAATGCACTGGTAGATAGGATAGTTCTTAGAGAACTCCTACAGCATGTTTGCTTCCTTGTTTGTCTTCACGATTCTTGAAATTAGGTTCTATTACTGAGTTTCCTGTGTAATTGGCTTAACAGTCATTCCCTCTCCTTACCTTTAGATTTCTATGGCTCACGTTCCTGTGGGGGAGGACAATGCTATTAGGATGTGAGTTCTCCCCAAATTAGCAAAATCTCAATTAAAATCCCAGCAAGCTCTTTTTTCCTCAAGAAGTTGACAAGCTGTTTCTAAAATTTATATGTAAAGGCTGAGGACCTAGAATAGCCAAAACAACTCTGAAAGAAAGAAAAGTTGGAAGACTTAACAACACTACCCAATTTCAAGAGTTATAGATTTCTGTGCATCAATCAAATGTCATTGAAATAGTTGAATTCAGTTGATTCTCAACCTATCTAGATGAAGGTATCTATGAAGTGTAGTCTCTTAGGAGTAATATTTGAAAGGATAGACTCTTAATTTGAAAATGTTTGGAATTTTCCTCAAATTCCTAAAAACACTGTTGTTAAAGCAAAAAGAAGGTACCAAGATGCAGGAAAAATGTATGAGCACAATTTGGTGACCAAATTGACATAAGTTATAGCTAAAAAATAAGCTTTTGGTTTTTATATTTAGTCATTTGAATAGTTTCAGTGCCCCTTTAATTTTATTTTCAGCTAACTTTATTTTTCCAAAATAATTTTATATTTCTTGAAAATTATTTCAATGTTGGGTCAGGGGAGAGGTGTGAGAGGCAGATGATGGCAGGAGAAGAGCAGGAGGAGACCCTGATCTGATGGATGTAGTGGGCTGGATTTGTGTGGAGAAATTCAACTGTGTATTTACCTGTCAGAACCATTATTTGGGTATCTTGAGAAACTGGTATAACCCTATATAGAACATGCAAAGAAAACTAGTAAATTACACGTGAATAACGTTTATGTCAGAGACATTTAAAATGTTTACAATTCTCATTTTTAACAGTTGGTCGGGAGAAAAGCAGTGTCAGCCGTGCAAGTAAGGAAGGTGTAGAGAGACGGAAGGTGGGCAGTGCAGGTATTCGTTATTCGCCGTGTAGCACGTACAGAAGGCTCTCTTCTCTAGGAAAAGAATCAACAAGTGAACGTGTGTACATGAAGTATTTTCCTTTTTTCCATGTCATTCCAGCTTATGATGGACAAGACAAAGTTAAAGAAATTTGGTCCCTTAAGAAATGTTGGTTATTTCTGTCCCAAATTAAGTAGTAAAGTTTGAATTTCTGCCTTTATCAGAGGAAAACTTGCAGTCACGTATGCCCAGTCCCTGGTGTTCTTTTATTTAGCATTCATGCTTATATTTAGCCTCCCAGCCTGCCGCTGAGCTGCGGAACACAGGCCCGTCTCCCAGCTCGCGTCTGCACAGGGACGCCTCCAGCGGCGCTTGTCCACCTTCCCGCCTGACCGCCACGCCCGCATGTGCGCCCGCACGGCCTCGCCCCACGCATCGCTCAGCTGGGGCTCCGTCAGCATGACGTCTCATTCTCTTTCCTGCCTTGCCTCCTGGTTTTCTCATTTTTTTCCCCTTGTGGTTTGTAAAATTGTCCTCTGCTTTACACTCTGGTTTAAAACACCTAAGCAGAAAGGCCCAGATATGCCCACCAGTTTTCTGTCCTTTCAGAAGTCTTCGGGTCATGTTTGTGTTCTCAATTTGCATTCACTGGTTCTAGCTCCAATGTTTTGCTATTGCTTTTTTTCTATTAAAATGTTTCTTCTCTTTAGAGTGCCTGTTTCAGCAATAGTTACATATATTTCAAGTATATAAAAATCTTGGTCTTACTTTGCTTTGTTTTGTTTTACAGATCAATGTAAAATGGGCATAAAATTCAGGGCAGAATTTCCCCTCTGAGTTTCTCATGGGTTGAAAGCAGACGTGCTTTGCGTGCTAACGCATCCTTACAAGTACTGTGACTGGTGACCGACAGTCCCTAGGGGACTGTGACCTTTACTATCTCCAAATGTGGGTGGCTCTCCTAAAGCCATCTTACACTGGTTTCCAGGAGAAAAAAATCAAAAAGTCCTGCATTTACCATGAGTGAATGTTAATATTCAAATAACATTTCTAGAAATAATCCTAAAATGATATCACACAAAATTCTTTTTAAACCTTGACATTATTGATGTTTTTTCATAGATAAATGTACAAAGAACATTGCTAAGAAATACTTAGCTCTGCAAAACTTTTCATTTATGTCTTCCGCAGGTCCTTGAATTTTTCATCAAAGCAAAGAAAAGTGTATTTTACATATTGTACTGAAATCAGGCATCTGGAAACTGAGAAGTTGTTACACTTATGTTCTTTTTGTTGTCAAATGATTAACTTAAAACAAATTTTCTCTGGTAAATGTAACCACAAAAGTAATTTACTCTCTTTTAATACTGTCTTCTTTTTGATGGAGACACTGAACAAACAGAAAGGAAGACTTGATTCTGGTTAAGGAAATTTTATTCAAAAAGTTTCTAACTAATTGGCAATCTTCTGGTATATACAGTCTTCTGGATGATTTAAATAGTTTGTTTTCTTTCAGAACACTGGTGTTAACACAATGGGTCTAGTTTAAAACTGAGTTATACTACTATTCATAGAAGTGGATGCTTTTGGTATGTCAACTCCCCATACCACGTTTACCTTTTGTTGCAGACACGATTGTCTAAATTCTCCTGCAAAAGTGGTACTCACTTAATTTTTTTTTTAAGTAAAACCAAATTTTCTAGAACTTCAGGAAGACAATGGATTAGAGAAAGAAGTATCTTTTTTTTTTTAATTTGATACAAGTTTTAGATTTCTTGCTGGTTTTAAATCCAGTCTAAGTGTTTTTCATCCATTCTTTTTATTTACCTCCAAAGGAAATGTCTACCTTCTGAAATGTTTCTGTAATAGATAAGGCCAGAAAATGGCTTTGGTAACATTTTATGAAATAGGTTATTTTTGAGATTTGCTGAAAGTAAATTCTGCAAAAGAGAGGTACTGAGTACTGTGCAAGCACTACACAGTCTAGAAGACCAAAATGCCAATATTGCACACACAGTCCTTCGCACTAATTGATGGTTTTTAAGAGACAAGGTATTTTTGGGGAATTACCACAATAAGAAACATGCCCTTCCCTGGCGGCCAGTGAAGCATCAGCATGTGGGCGATGCACGTCTGCCTCATAATTCTGCTTTGACTTCTAACATAGAAGTGAGCTTGCTTTTCAGATCGCTTAGTTTGTAGCCAATTCCATTGCCTTTTTAATTCCAGGCACAGAAAGATCCGAAGAAGGACCGTCCTCTTGCACGCCGCAAGTCCGAGCTGCCTCAGGATCCCCACACCAAGAAAGCCTTGGAAGCTCACTGCAGAGCCGACGAGCTGGTCTCCCCGGACGGACGCTAGCCTCCGGAGCGCCTCCCGGCTGGCCGCCACTTCCTCTCTGGATTCTGTAGAAAACATACTTTTTGTGCCATACCAATCAGTTACACTCAAAGTCAAAGCTTTCTTCGACCCCGTTGTAGGCAATAACGTGCGTCCGCCTCAGCTCGAGATTAGGAGTTCAAACAATGGTGACTTCTCAGACCCTGCTGGCAGAGCCGTGGGCTGATGATGGTGTCCTCACAGTGTCGCCACCACCCAGCGTAGTCGTAAACAAGACTGTTGCTCAGAATCAGAGCTATAGGAAAGCACCCTGCTCCTCATCTTCATCTTCTACCCAGATGGAATTTGTGGTCCTTTAAAATAGGTGGTTCTATGATAATATCAATGTTTTTCAAATCAAAGGAACACTTTAAAAAATATTACCTATTTTTTAAGATTTTACAACCTTTGAAATTGTTTCCACGTGATTGTTACGCCAGCAGGTTTTGTTTGTTTGTTTTTTTAATCTCACTAAAATGGCTCTTTCCTTTCATGTTCTAACACACGTACTGGGAAAAGTGACATGACAATCCTCGGCCGCTGGTATCTTCTAAGGTGTTTCTTTACTTTGATTGACGACATGTGTACCATGTCTCCTTCTTCTTATGTGTACCTAAAGCCATATTTCCAAGACTGTGGCACAGCACCAGGTTTCCAGGAGGGAGCTCATAGAACAAATTTATTTTAAAAGAGCTTTCTCCGTCTACCTTAACTGAAATTGGAATCTAAAAATTATGTGTTGATATTTTTATTTGGGGATTTTTTTCATCTGTTTATACATTGTTACCCTTCAATAAGACTTTTGAATTAATGAAATTATAGTCTCTAAAAATTCCACATTCTGTAGAAAGTTAGAATGAGATCATTTTGAGCTAAGGCAGTTCTTGGCGTAATGCAGACTGCAGCTGCCTTTGGGCATAAAGTAACAGAAATGACATTGTACTTGCCGGGCACTGCCACTGCCTGTGCTTACTGCTGTTATGTGGTTCTGAGAGCTTAGAGGAAGCACCAATGAGGGTGATGTGAAGTGAATCTCTTTCTGTGGAAAAGAGCACACGTTATCAGCACCTCGTAAGGAAAATACAGTGTCTGAGTTTTCATCAGTCTTCAAATGCTGCTATATATTCACAGACTTCCTTGCATGTACTGAGCTTTTGTTTTAGATGGAATAGCACGAGGAGAAAAACCTTTAAACTTAGTGCTTTGTCTATTCTTTATTTCTCTCAGGGTGGCCAGTATTTTGACTTATTTATCCTGCTTGAAAGTTACTTGAGATGTGTACTGCTATTCTAAACCAGTGATTCTAGTTTCTTTCGTCTCTGGCATAAGATTATATAACTTAATGTTAAGTGTCTTGATGCATAAAGACAAAATGTGGCTTCTTTTAGAATCTCGTTTTTAATCAAGGTCTCGGGTATCCATTAAAAGATTGTGAAAAGCAGACATTGTTCCTTGTGCAGCTGTGGTGCCTGCTGCCCATTGGTGTCATTTGCGTCCATTGGCAATGTTTATTTCCTTGTGTCTTGGAGGAAAATCGGGGGGGAGGGGTTTCTTGTGTTAAGGACAAGGCTAGTCCTCAGTTACAGGTGGCCCCGGCAGAAGTGGACACGTCCACTTTGTGAGAAGAACACTTCCTGAGAAACTTGACAAGTATCCATTTACCATTATGAAATCTATAATTTAAAAAAAATGTTTAGATGCCTTCTCCTCTTGAGGGAAAAAGGGTGCTTTTTATTGTATAAAGCAGCGTCTTATGTATTTTGATATATACCATTGTTTGAACTTCCGTCTTTAGCTGATAGATTCTCAGATATCCTAGGTTTTGGATGTTCAGTATGTTTGTGAGAGAGGTTTCTGGGAAGACTCTCTTTTTGCCCTCGGGAAGAAGCAAAATATCAATGTTTGGGTGATTGTGTAAAGCTCAATGTATAAGAACATCTTTTTGTCTAGGTTTTATTTCTGCTCTTTATTGAAGACAAACACTCACCAAAAAGGAAAAAAAAGTTTTGAGAGAAACAAATTTTCTTTGGCAAGAGTATTACTTAATATTTTGGCCTATTAAAGTTTCCCTAGTTAGTACTCGGATTCCCTGTGCTAATTGTTCAACTTATGTGTTATGATATAGATATACTGTTTATTCTGTACCAAACTGATTTCAAAAGTACTACATTGAAAATAAACTGGTGACTGTTTTTCTTCATAAAGTTCTTCGTTTGGCATCTTTACTCTTTCCAAAATGTATCTGTACATCAGAAATGTCACAATTCCGAGTGTCTTTTTAGTGTGGCTTTAGTATGGCTTCCTTTTAATATTGTACATACATTGTATCTTTGTTTTATGGTAATAAGTAATAAAAATGTAGACTTCATATTTTGTACAAAATGTCCTATGTACAGAATAAAAAAGTTCATAGAAACAGCAAAAATAGGTAAGTGGCACAATTATTTTTCTTTAGAAAATATCTGTAACTTTATGCTTCAGTGAAATGTTAAGTACCTACATATTTTTTAACATTTTGTAATTCAAAACTTTTTGTTTTGACATTGTTTATGAAGAGAAACTTCATACACTTGCCATTTAATATGCTCTTTTATCTAATTTAAAAAAAACTCTACAAAATGGTGTATTATATGGACTAAATAAAGAATGTGTGGATTTTATTGCTCATCATGAAACTAAATTTAGCCATGGAGTTGGGCAAGCTGGTTCCGACTTTCTCAGGTCACCGTGAGGTCACTGGGCTGAGGACGGACGCAGGTGACCCTCGGCCGGCCACCTTGCATGCCCGTGTGTGTCAGCTGCTAGTCACGCTTCTCAAAGCTAATTCTGTAAGCTAATTTTTTACTTTAGTGGAAAAAGCAGAAGGGACTTTTTATAGACCACCTCTCATTTTTTGGTTTTCTGAGTAAGCACTTGTGAGTCAGAATACAATTTATAGAAATTGAATTATTTGACCCCCAATTATGTTTTTAAAAATTCTTAAAGAGAGATTAACATCTTGAAAATAGAGTAGAATTGCTGAGAATATGAATTTGGGGTCCTGGTTAATCCACCTCCTTCATGGAGAGATCATTATCCTCACTGGTGCTGCCGCCGAAAAGTCCACGAAAATAGGCTAAAGTTGTGTTTCCTCTGGTCATCATTGCACACCTCGCCCTCGCACTGTTGCACTTGATCGCCGTGCCAGCAGGTGTGCGCGGGTAAGCTCTGGGTGGTCTCTGACACCCCTTCACACTCAGAAATGCAGGAGCCACTTGTCGGAGCTCCAGGCAGACAGCTGGGGTGTCTCACCTAAGTGTCTGGTAACTTTGGATATTTTTAAGAACCACAGCTACTCAGATCGCTGTTTCCTCCAACTGGACCTCTGCATTCCTGGTCTCCCATATTGCAGTTGGTGAAGCTGTAGTGTCTAGGGACTTCCGACAGTACAAGAATCCTTGAAAGAACTTACTAAATAGAAGCATGCTACGATTTAAATCCAGCTACATGCTGCTCTTATTTTTGGACAGCAAGAGGCCTAAAAGCAAAACTAAACTGGCAAAAAAAAAAAAAAAAACTAAACTGGCTTTGTGTCTCCTTCTATGAGAATTGGTGTCACCCTATAGCCGGAATGATGGCTAGAACCAATATTTCTTACCACTACCTTTAAGCCAGGGACTGTTGGGGGTGTCTCGAGTCCCTGGGCTAATTAATTCCCACAACCCACCAAAATACTTGCCATGATGATCCTCATTCACAAATAAGGAAACTGAGGCACACAAAGGTTAAGTCACTTGCCCAAGGTCATACAGGTGCAGAGTGGAGCCAGGCTTCGCCACAAGCAGTGAGGTCCGAGATCCCAGAACCCCACCACCAGGTTGCGCGGCAGAAGCGCCTTCTCCGCAGGCAGCGTCCCCGACGACCCTGGGCACAAGCCGAGCGCGTGCTCGCCGCCTCGCGGGCCATGGGAAGACCCGGCCCTCAGGCACCGGGCGACCGTGAGCACGCGACGGGCCCAGGTCCCCTCTAACCCACTGTTGCCAAGTGGAGACCGACACAGAACCTCAGAAGTCACCGTCCTCAGAAGCTGTTGTTTTTATGTAAATTTAGATTTTATACTACTTTTAACTTTTTAAAACGGCCATGCCAAATTCAGCGCTTTGGAGACCACCAACACGTTAGCCTCTGTTCTCATTAAATTTATGTTGCTAATATTAACCTATAAAATTTTCAAAATTCAGCCCGTATTTAATATGTGGTTTTACATAAGATTTTCTTTAGAAACAAATAGGTTCCACTACCAAAAACTCTGAAATCCACTAAGCTTAATTTAACTCTTTTTTTTTAGAGAAGAAATTAGTCCCAGAGGTAAAAAGACTGGGCCCAAACTGGTTTGAAGCTAAGTCCTCCGCCAGCCCCCATTCTGTCTCTCTGAAGTCTTTCACTTACAGAAGCATTAAGTAAATCCCACAGAACTTTGGGGGGGAATTTAAAAAAACCGATAATTCATCTTTTTCTACCCCCAGGTTTACCTGATCACATCCAGCTCAGCCTACTTTCCTCTTGCGGGGCTTTTAGAAATACATAGTTAAACAAAAGCTGGGGCTGAACTCTGAACTGGGCTTTATGATTTGTGTACTTTTATAGGATGATGGATAGTAAACTGATTATTAGACCAGGAATTTTTTGACCCATCCTCTTAATACCCATAAAAGCAGCCAGTAACAAACTTTTGGTGAACATTCAGCGGGCTGTGGTTGGAAGACAGCAGCAGAGGAGGAATGAGGGTTACACCTGGGGGGCCCTGTGATGACATGCGGGATAGCTCCTCGTGGGGACCTGCGTCCCAGCAGGGTTTGATTCTCTCTCTCACACACACACACACGTGGAGTGGAGGAGAGGGGCGTGCGGTGAAGCAGGGCGGGTCCTGGTGCTGGGGTGTGTGGCCTCATCAGTCTTCATTTCCGTCTCCAAGATGCATCTTGAGAAAATCTGCCTCCGGTTGTAAGTTTAGGGCCCCTCTAGCCGGTGACTGCGCCTCGCCTCGTGGCTCCTGCTGGATCTTCTACAGGGTTCTCTGCCGGAGCCCGACGCCCAGGGGGGGTTGTGAGCCAAAGCTAACTAACTAATGGGAGGCAGACAATGGACTGGACTCGTGGAACCTGTTCTCCCCAGATTTCTAGTTAGAGGGTGTTTAGGTGCTTATGAAAGTGGGTCCTCAGTCAAGGAGTGACCCTGAGAGTGAGCGCGCCTGCCCAAGGATGGCAGCCCGAGCAGGGTCGCCTCCTTCGAAACGGGCTGGAGCCTCGTGCAAGCCAAGCCGGGCAGCGCAGGTCCCGGCCGCCCAGGGCTGCGTCGAGGGGCTGGTCTTGAGCCGAAAGCATGCGGTAACTTGTCTAGTAAGTGTTGCCATCACAGACATCGTTTTAAGGCTGTCAACCCACTGGGTCCTTTTCCCCCCACTGTGTAGAAAAGAGACAACACGCCGAGACAGCAGAGAACAGTCATCTGGCAGCAGAACATGGAAGCGGGAGAGATTTCTCAAATCTGCCTCCCCCAGAAGCTGCGGGCTGCGGTTTATGGGTTTTGGGGGGCAGGGGGCTAGGGCATTGGCACTGCTGATTGGCTGGGTCAGGGCGAAATCACGGGGCTGTGGACCTGCGCTCATGCGCTGTGTTGGTTCCTCCTCGGGGGCCAGAGGCCCGATTGAGTCAGTCGAGGGCAAGGGTCACTGACCCGGTCTGCGGCAGCGGCCCACAGGGATGCAGGGTCTGGAAAGCATCTTAACGGGAAGCCTTAGGCTCCACAATAGAGGTGTTATCTATAGAAGCCATTAAGGGATGTTATACGCCTGTGGCCAGACTCCTACAGTGAGAAATTACAGGGAAGCAGGCCAGGGACAGAGCTGGGTAGTTGTTAACTATGGCTGTACCTTGCAACGCTTAGGCCTCCAGCAAAGTTTTAATCCCTTGGTTTCAGTTGATTTTGTTTCTTAGACAGAGTCACTCTGTTGCCCGGGCTAGAGTGCTGCGGCGTCAGCCTAGCTCACAGCAACCTCAAACCCCTGGGCTCAAGTGATCCTCCTGCCTCGGCCTCCCATCTAGCTATGCGCCACCATGCCCGGCTAATTTTCTATATGTATTTTTAGTTGGCCAATTAATTTCTTTTTATTTTTAGTAGAGATGGGTTCTCGCTCTTGCTCAGGCTGGTCTAAAACTCCTGACCTTGAGTGACCCTCCCACCTTGGCCTCCCAGAGTGCTAGGATTACAGGCATGAGGCACCGTGCCCGGCTGGTTTCAGCTGATTTTATAGGGATGGTTTCAAGGCCACCTTTTTTTTCTATGTCAGAATCCAGATGGTTCAATAGTGAAATGTTTTGCTAGGAAAGTAGAGGTTCTTCTTGCAGAATTGTTTCTTCATGGGTTGCAAAAAGACTGGAATAAAAAGCCTGCCATGGGCCGGGCACGGTGGCTCACGCCTGTAATCCTAGCACTCTGGGAGGCCGAGGCGGGCAGATTGCTGGAGGTCAGGAGTTCGAAACCAGCCTGAGCAAGAGCGAGATCCCCGTCTCTACTATAAATAGAAATTAATTGGCCAGCTAATATAGAAAAAATTAGCCGGGCATAGTGGCGCATGCCTGTAGTCCCAGCTACTCGGGAGGCTGAGGCAGCAGGATGGCTTGAGCCCAGGAGTTTGAGGTTGCTGTGAGCTAGGCTGACGCCACGGCACTCACTCTAGCCTGGACAACAAAGCGAGACTCTGTCTCAAAAAAAACCCAAAAAGCCCGCTGTGTAGAGTAAAATAGTAATTCAAGCCCCACGGGGCAGAGCAAGTTACGTGAGACCAGAGAGGAGAGCAGAGATGAGGAACGGCTCACCAGGAGCTCACCTGGGCCTCCCGAGCCTCAGCAAAAGGGACGCTGCTAAGGTCAGAAGTCCCCAGCCACCCTCGGTTGAAGAGTTCCCCAGAAGGACTCGGAGGTGAGTGAAGCTGTCATACTCAGGGTTACAGCTGATGACAGTGACAGGACATGGATGAAAGCCTGGGGCAAGGTCATGGGGGGGGACGGGGCTGAGGCTCGGAGCTGCCAGGTGTCCCCTCCCTGCGAGATCATGCTGCAGGGCTGGCTTCCCCCACGCCAGTGCGTGGTGGCACGCACGGAGCATCGCCACCCAGGGAAGCTCACCCAAGCCTTGGTGTCCAGAGTTTGGGGAGTTAACCACGAATACATGGCTGACGTTAGTGTCCAGCCCCTCCAGAAGTCGAGCCATGTGGGGTGGCCCCAACCCCAGCATACATCGCATTGTTAGCACAGACTGCCCAGCGTGGCCTGAGGCCTCCTCTCCCCGGAGGGCAGTCTGGCGACCTCCAGGGCCTGGGCAAAGGCCACACCTCTCTTTAGACAGGTTACTCCCTACGAACGCCGCCCACACCCCAAGAGGAGCTGCAGCTCGGACAGGCTCATCTGCCCGGCTGAGGCCAGGTCGGGGTACAGGGGTCCCACGGCCATTGGGCCTCCCCGACCCAAAGCTCTTCCCGAGCTGAGCCGCAAGACCCGCTTTCCAGTTAATCTGAGAACGTAGAGGCTTCCGGAATGACACTAAAAGACCCACTGAGGAGAGAAAGGACCCATTCTCAATAACTCAGGGAAGAAACAGTTCAATGGCTTTAAGGAGCTGA